TACTAAATTTGTCACTAGATTCTTTGAGCAACTTGCACTTTCAAAATAGTAACCTTCTACACAGCTGTGTCCACATCCGTTGGAGCAGCACATCTGTCCCGAAGAGCAGGGGTTCTCGTCACTACAATCCTCGCTGCAACTTCCCACAACGTCGGCCTCAATGACTGGACAAACCTTTGGTAGCTCAGGAAGACCTATAAAGATAGCATGGATAGGTTTTTGGTTTAGTCTGTCTTCACAGTAGTGAGTATAGTTGCTACTTGTGTCACAGAGGTAAAGCCCTGAGAGATAGTGTAATACATTCTTACCAGCTGGCGCTTCCTTGCATTCACAGATTTCACAGCCCTCTTTATTCACTGCCCAACCACTGGGACACAACATTCGACACAAAACAGGAGAACAACCTACATAGAGATGAAATAAGGGGATGTTTGATTGAAAGCACTGTATAAAACTTGGAGTCAAATTGCCAAAATTGACATTGATGTGATCAGGTGAGTCTTACGTTCTTGCTGTTTTCATCAAGAAAATGGATGGAGCTATGGTGGAGACCTGAAATTTGTCTTTGAGAAAACATGTTCAATGATTGCAAAGATTTCGTAATGGTACCTTCTACACAAGTATGTCCACAACCATTGGAGCAGCAAATCTGCCCTGAAGGGCAGGGGCTCTCGTCACTACAATCTTCAACGCAACTTCCCACCACGTCAGCCTCAATGACTGGACACACTTTGGGGATTCCCTCTGCAGTGACAAGAAAAGGCTTTTAGTAACAAAGTTAAGAGGAAGGTAACTTCTGCTCTTGCCCAATTTTTCCCACTCCTTCCGCGAACAATACGCCAGATCTGAATCAAATATTTGAGGTGACACTGGCGAACAGCCATATCCAAAACACAACATTAGCCATTTCAGATTCAGCCACCTTTTTCTCGCGATTACAGAATTTTTTTTTCATAAAAAATTCAGCCAGGCTTATTTTCTGAAAATTGGGCTTTTAAACAATAGATGACCTTTCTTCACACATTCAGTTGAGTGCAATTTAGAACGGCACTGAATAACAACAGTATCTGCTGCAAAAATGGACACTAAATTGTTTTCACAAACATACTTTTAACAGATGCTCTTCAAGGGATGCATTTGGTGTATGTTCATACTGAGCTAGACTGTTCTCCAACCCCGTGCCTCAATAAAGAACACTGCTATTCTTCAACTGACTTCAATCAAGACTTGAACAATCTGCCTTGAGCAGAAGCACTCCTGTATTGGTTGAAAAGAGCCATGTTGGCAGGGAGTGCTCGTTTTTATTTCTGTAGTGACGCCACCGCAATACCTGCATTATGTAGTTGTTTGTGAACCAGCAGTTCCCTCTGAAAGAGCCTTTGTTGCTTAGAGAATTGCACCCTCTCTTGGTCCCACTCGGGATGGATAGGAGAAAGCTACATTGGTTGCTTACCTACAGAAGGGGGCCTGCACTCACAGCCTTGGCATCCATTTTTGTCCGCCAAGAATCCAAAGGGGCAATTTATCAAGCACTTGAACGAAGGGCAGGCTGTAATGACAGACAACATGGGCCCATATCAGTGCCGCTTTATGTGGGTAGTGAAGGCTAGGGAATTCTCTTGACCTGTGTTTTAGCTTTGGTGTCAATTTTATTTGTTCAGCGGCATTACACTGCATTCCGGCAGGAGTAGTATCACAAGAGCATGAGCTCCATTCAAAATTCCACTTGCACAAGTCCTTTGTTGATTTTTTTTGCAAAATTGGGAAAGACAATTATGGCTATGGCTAAACCATGTCAAAAAATTCCATACATCCAGATTAAATTTTAAGAGAAAAAACGGTAGTCCTTGAATAATCAGGACAAATCTGCATACATGCCTGAGCGTGATGCGGCCGCAGTAATGGTGCTTTTTGGACTAGTTTATTCCATAACACGGGGAGCTGAAATTTGATGCATTTACATTTGTCTAAGCCAACAAAGAAGCCAACAGAATAATCAGACTTTCAGAGAGTAGATGAGACCAATCTCGTGAAGCTAGCTTATTTGAAGTGGCAGCAAGTTGGCTAGATTTGTCAGATGTGTCTTATAAAAGGAATATACGTGTACCTGATACGCAAACCTGACCACAGTTGTTACTGCAACACTTGAGGTCTCCAGCGCAATCAGAATCACTGCTGCACTCTGTTACGCAAATTCCTGCCACTAAATCTGGAACAGCTGCTGGACACTGGCCCGGCTTGACATCTGTCAAAATGGACAAGAAACAAGGCTTAGAATACAGCCGGGAAATTTGTCGACCCAATGCGTGTTTGGAAAGGGTCGACTAATTTCGCATGTTGTGATAGGCCAACGCGTTGCAAACTCCTGGAGGCGCAACATTGTGAATCGTCCATATTGGAAGGGGAAAGTCATGAAGGTAAGAAACAAGGTAAAACACAAGTAACAAATGCGATCAAGTTATACAAACACATCCCAAGGAATCACCAGTCATCTACATATCAAAAATGTTGACAAGGAAGCCATTTAATTTTGCGTCCCCTGCACACTAAGCAGCCTACCTGGGCTGGGCAAGCATTCACAGATCTCACATCCATCACTGTTGGTGGCAAAGCCCCATCGGCACCTCAGACGACACCTGACAGGGGTACATGCTGCATGGGGGTTGGGAATGAAAATTATCGGTGAAATTTACTGTCTGTACAAAAGCAGATCTATATTTATAACACTGCATGTTGAGTAGTCCATTGCAGTGGTTTGTAAAGCCATGTTGTAAACAGATGCAAAAAAAAAGATCTTTGTTCTGACAAAGATATGTAGTAAAAAAAGATTTATAAAATAAATTAAATGAATAAATAATTCAATACCTAATTCAATAAATCAATAATTCAATTAATATTTAAACAAAACAAAACTTAGAGAGCAAAGCTGTTGTTAAATGACAAAGTCCAACACTGAATCTTTTCAGATATGAACATGTCTCACCACTGGGATTCATTCAACATGAGTCAAAACTAATCAAAGTATTCAGTTCAACAATTAAGCATTGTCTTTAACCTATGACCAACACAAGTGAGTGCCTTACCCTAAAAATGATGACCCCTCCCCCATCAACTCAGAGTTGTGATGAGTCACTAATTTTTGTGACTCAAGTCAAGTCATTAGACAAAAAGTGAAGTAAAGTATTGAGCTCGAGTCACTCCAAGTCATTACTACGTGAGCACAACATGATACATAAACCTTGAGAGAAAGTCATTTTTTGGCATCTTTCAATGTAACACTGGGTTCATTTATGTGGTTACACCCAGTTAACACATGACAAGAACATTATAAACCGGCACAGTAAGTCATTGCAAATATTTGTTTTGAAAGAAATTTGCTTTTATTTTTGGGACTTGAATCTTATTTACTTTCATTCGAGTTTGGTCTTCTGATGAGGGACTCAAGTCAGATGCTCACAATGACTCAAATTGAGTCATTTACCCATCAGGGTTTTATGACTGCAGTTGGACGTGAGTCGAGTTATTGACTTGAGTCATTACAACTCTGCTACAACCTCTTCCCTGACATGCCATTTGTGCTTTTAAGAACTAAATGTGAAATGTGTGAGGGGTTGAATTGGGACAGACCATGGTTTTGTCTGACCCAGCTTTAGTGCCTAAAGCCCCACAGGAAATCTGGGGGGTTTTGTATGAACTTCTGTAATGACTCAAGGGGTTTTCACACACCTGTTGTGCAGGTTCGTCCGCATCCGTTGGAGCAGCACTTCATGTTTCTCTCACTGCAGTTGTCGTCACTCTCGCATTCGTTGGCACAGGTACCAACAATGCCCTCTGGTACGGCTGGGCACTTACCAAACTTAACTAACATTTTAGTACACAAAAATAAAGGATGCCATGAGATTTGACTTCTTGAAGATTCACAATGCTATTTCTTTGCATTTCAAATGGCACCCAGCAAACTCGTTAACAGACACTCAGGTCTCACAAAAAGTATAAAATCATGTATCTGGTCTGTGTCATGGCTCTGTCTTTGATCTGCACAGTATTTACTGACTATCTCAACAGGTTAGTCAGGTTAGTCCAACATTTTTCATTCAAATATGGAAAGGCACGCAGTCCTTCAAGGCTCGGTATACATGGGTATGTGTCCTCACTTTTTGGTTTCTTGCAGCGGCATATTTCACATCCATTTTCGTCCTTCACGTATCCAAAGCGACAGGCCTTCCGACACCTCACACTAGAGCAAGCTGTTGACAATAAGGGATAAATAATTACTAGCGTTGTGTCTATTTTCCTTTGTACAAGAATGCCTTTTACATGGAGACCCATAATAAAGAACTACAGGAAATTATAAATATCTGCAGGTATGAGTGGCAGAATAAATTTAAGGAAGAGGGTTGCAGTTGCACGATGTGAAAAGTGTGCTTTTTCAACCATGTATATATGCAATTTTCCTATTTCAAAAAATTCCCAGGAAAGTTACGACACTCTAAGCCTGCCTTTAAGGTCCTTAAGGCGCTATTATCAGAAACTGTTGAAAGAATGAAACAAATAAAAATAATCAAAATTTAAAAACCAGGCTTGGAGCCACAGGATGATAATGTAAAATTGTTCCAATTTATGTTTTTGAGTTGCTTTTGATTGTAAAAAATGGTCTTTACGTGTTTGGCAGACCATTCCGCAGCCGTTGCTGCAGCACTTTTGCCCCTCTCTGCAATCGTCGTCTGCCATGCAGGCCAGGATACAGATGCCCACAGTGTCCTCGACAGACGGGCACTGACCAGCATCACCGTGGCCTCGTCCGTACGTGGCAACCCAACCCCTGGATTCGAGTTCCTGGGGAAAGAAGCAGCTACAGATCTCGCAGCCGTTCTCATCTCGCTCATAGCCGAACTTGCAGCCTAAGCGGCATGTCACCTCCGAGCAACCTACTCATGAAAATACAAAACCAATTGGAATTTCAAACTGGGTGGTTCGTACAAATGTTGTGGTCTGAGGAAAATCCAAATCAGGTAGAATCGTCTACATTTGCCTCAAGTTGAAGTTTGGGTTGCAAAGCCAAAATGGTGCCTCATGTTGGTTACCACACTTGCTGTTTGAATAAAAAATCATAATTATGGGCTTCTCTCTCTATCTTTGGTCTCAAATTTTTTGTTTGAATTTCTTTTAAAGCAAGAGCACAAAATGGCATAGTTTAAACAGACTGATCCATTAAGCCCTGCGTTCTGACATATCAAAGCTGTACTTCATGCCCGATATGTGCATACAAAGGTCCAACATCCAGACATGTATTATGAGTTATTATTGGAACTTGATTGGTCTACTGAAAAGTGAACTGAAGGAATGTATGAAAGTGAGTGAAAACGATTCATTGTTCTAAGTTAAAACTGGTTTCCTGTCTCTCCTGTACACTGTGGTACTAGGATCCTGAGCCTCCAGACCCTTGTACAACCGTGGTCTCCTACACACCTGGTGGTGTCTTGCATTTGCATATTTCACAGTTGTTCTCATCTGTGTCGAAGCCATGCTCGCAAAACATTCTGCACCGCACTGGTTCACAACCTGCAAAGAATTTCATACAGCAATGAGAAGAAAAGAAAGGTTAAAAAAAAACTTGCTCATTAAAACTTCCCTGTGGACTTTGTTCGTGTGTGTGTGAACAGGAGGCATGTGTATTGCACAGTTTTGCTGGCAAGTAATACCCATGTCGTTTTGTCCTTGAAGACCATGAACATATTGGCAGAAAATTATTTCAAAGGTATACAAAAAATGTACAGAGAATTTCCACAAGCACTCGGATTCATACTTTTGCAAAGACCTGGACGTGTCCAGCATATCATTCTTGTGATGAAAAACAGCTGGTTTCTATCCGTACCAATGATCTCAGAACTCAGATTGCAGTAGCTTGTTTTACAGACTACTCAGAACTAAAAAAGGACTCAAATACAACAATGATACACATCATAATATTCTCTTGCTGGTGACCAGATTTGAGTTAGACAAACTTCTCTTCATTTGGTAAGAGTGCACTTATTAATACATAGTGCCACGAAAGTGGTCCAAAAGCTGTGATAATGAACAAATATGCTCTTCAAATGGCGCTACGGTACAGCTGGTTCCTTCAGTACTAATAGAGTACCTCTCACGCAGGTATGGCCGCATCCGTTGCTGCAACATTTCTCTCCCTCATTGGAGCAGTCATCATCCACTTCGCAGTTGTCTATACAAATAGCGGTAACGTTCAGGTTGATGGCTGGGCAGACTCTGAGTAAATCTTTCCACGACAAAGAAACAAAAGAATAAAAAAGGTTGTAATCGTCTGTAAAGCTGAGTTTTAGAACGTGTGGACAAATGTTTGGTTAAAAGAGGTCGCTGATGTAACCTTCATTGCAAGAGCTCATGCTTGCAATGAGGCCCTTTTCCCTTGTCTTTTACACAGAGATGAGGATTTGAAGGTAGCACAATCATGCCCCAGCAGAATGTTTGCTGTGCAACTTCAGATTTTAAAGAAACTTACTACCCATGCAAGGATATCTATGCTGAGTTAACCTGTAAAGGTTTAGACCAATCAAGTGATTACCACTCTGCCAGACTCTGTAAAGCAAGCATGTTTTTCTTATGCATATTTCATAAAACAGGTAAGACTTTAAAGCAATGTCCATTTCAAAAAATGAAACATTTAATAGAATTTGTCAAACTGGTGTTAAAACGAGCACAAGACATCAGCCAAAATACCTCCCAAAATGGCATGATGCAACATACAATGATAATTTTTTTCAATCCAAGGTACATCCTCACTAACCCATGTTCATACAGCGGCAGATCTCACAACCGTTGGCGTCCCTGGCAAACCCTCCAAAAGGAGCACAGTTGATTCGGCAAAGATTCCCAGAACAAGCTGCAGCGTGTGAAATAAAAATTATTCAGACATGGAATGCATGAAATGTGAAAATTAAGGAATAAGAACCCCAATGTGGGGACAGATTCAAATGCAAAAGTTTGTGGTGAAATAGCCTCTGGCATGATGACATGGAGAAAGACAGACACACGACAAGAGGCAAAAAATACTGAACAATATACACAGGAAAACAACTGAAGCCTTGACATAACACAAGCAGGTATTTCAAAAGAGTAAGCCTGGAGAGTTGTAATGCAGAAGGCAGAATGCCAAGGCTGGACAAAGTAGCTAAAGAGAAACTTGTAGATTTAAAAAACTTAGAAAGAATGGCGCTGCACTTCATTAAGGAACCACTCATGCTCCAAAATGCAGCTGAGAGCATCTAAAATCCCAAAATTTTGGGGGCCCTTGGGTGGGGTCCGAACCCCATGCCATGGCTTCGCAAAATGTTGGTAAACCACAATGGAAATCCCCCACAGTTTTGAAAAATCCTGGGGAGAACCCTGTTCAAGGTTGCTCATCAAAGTTTCCTTAAAGTGTACAAAAACTAACAACCAAGTTACAGATGTAACTGGATAGAAAGAAGTATTTAAACAAACTGCATTTCAAAGTATTTACACTTCATGCGCCAGGAAGGTTTCTGTCTCTATGTGCGGTAGTGGGAGTTCCAAATTTTGGTAGTGGGACTTAGACTTACCTGGGACACAAACTTGGCCGCAGCCATTGGAGCAGCACTTCTCCCCTTCGTCACAGGCGGCATCACTGGAGCACTCAATGGCGCAGGTGGACACCATACCCGGCCGGACAGCCGGACAAAACCCTGGCCTGTCCGCTATGGGGGTTTACCAACAACACGGGGAAGATTAATAAAGCTTATTGACTGTACGAAACAATATGATCAACAGGTGGAAGTCAACAAGCACCCAGGAGGTTTTCACATGCACCATCGTTAAGTTATGCCGAGTAATGAATGTCAACTTGTTGAATCAACCATTTCAAATTCTTTCACTTTGCAATCTTTTAAAAAGTGCAATTCTGAGTTATGCACAACAGCTGTCGGCCATTGTTTTCCCTGCTGAATATTCAAATTAGCAAACAGCCACTAGAATATTTGCCTGATTGAATATGCAAGCAATTGGTATATGTATATTCAAGTAAGCACTATAGAAAGTGTGCACTTATGGACAGGGCTGACAGCATTGTCTTGGGTCAATCCTTTTGGAACGTTATTACATCATCTCCTGCCTTCATGAAAACCCTGCCTACATGGAGAGACAGGCGTTTTTGTACTCACCAGGCTCAATGCATTCACAGATTTCACAACCATTGCTATCTTTAACGTAGCCATCAAGACAGCCGAGGCGACAGACCACTGGCTCACAACCTGAAAAATCATGGCAAACGTACTGGTTAACAGGGTCACATAGTCTGACAGAAGAGTTTGGATGATATCTTAAGGAATGATACCACAGAGTATGGAAGTAATTTCTTAAAGTTAATGGCAAAAAATCAGAGCAAATTTTGATGAGGTTGTCAACAAATTATGCTTTTGTCATTAATATTATTATTCATTAAACTGTTACTTTTGTAATTTTAAGCATTTAGTTATAACTTTGAAAAAAAGCGGGCAATCATTATCTCAACTTCTTGCCCAAGTTTGGTCAAAATATAAAACTTCCTTAAATTTGTTAAAAAGAAAATTGGCTGAACAGGATAATTTCCCAAGTGGGCTGCATTCCAAGGTTGCCAATGTTTCACAATTCTTTTTGTATGTAGGTCTATATCCAATGGGAGTTACGTGCAGTTTGCAACATGTTGGCATGGAGAGTTTAACATTCATCAGTAACGACTGATCCTGACCTACCTTGGTCTGGGATACCTGGCAAGTCTGGATCTGGTTGCTCGCGTGGGGTCCCATCTGCATCAGACAATGTGAGTAATCAGCTAAATAACTGTTTTCTTATCAATTCCAATTGATATACTTGTGGCCAGAATTAAAAAAGGCGCAGTCTATAGACCGATTGCACCCGCTAAGGCGCAGTCTATAGACCGATTGCACCCGCTAAGTCATGTGACCTATAGGCTATAGTGGATATTAAATATTAACAAACATGACGTCCACCAAAAGCAAAGTGTTTCACAAGTGTAACATCCCAAAACAAAGCCGACGGTAGCTGCCGCTCAGACTAAGTACTCTTTCCTTTAGTAATGTGCTGGGTACCAGAACTACTGTAACTTGGCACTATTGTTTGTAAACAATAGACCTACTCAAAACACACATTACTAATTGTCAGAAATCTGATGGGTAGGTTTACGGTGAAATTCATGTGCATTTTGCCCATCCACCATGTCCACACCACAGAAAAACAGCAGCATGTACTCTCAAGGACTGTCAGCTGTACGACAGCTTGACCAGTCGCAACACCAACAACATAGCTCTTATCTTTTCCTTTTTTATTTCCTGACCTCATCAAGTAAAAACTTAGCCAGCTGTGATTGGTCATGTGTACGTACTACAATCAAAACAGCCAAAACGTGTTCAGCCCTAGCTTAAACTTTTAAATTTAGTGCCAGTATCAGTCGATCTGTTCAATAGCTGCATGACCGCTGTGTGATCAGTCGATTTTTGAGCATGATCTTTCGAAATGTCCTACCTTAAGTGCCCGTGACATTTGGGTATACATGCGACCATTTCGCGAAAAAAAATCGTGCAAAATGCGCATTACATTAGCTATCGAATCACACACACGATGCATCGATGCGACATCGGCGCGGCGGCAGTGTACTTCATCTCACTTGAGGGCGCTATTTAACTTGACCATAGAGCTCAATGAACTTGACAAAACGTGACAGCCGGTTGACGAGGAAACTACCAATAGGACAAATAAAATGTCAGGATCTCTTAAACTTTAAAAAGGGAGAAAAAATAAGAACAGACGAAATACAAAAATGAACAATGCAAACAGGAGATACTTATGGCACTACTTATAAAAATCAGGAAACAAGTGGACGGGAAAAAGACATAATAGGCATACCACTGTCGGGTTCTTGGCAATCGATTTTCTGCACCCCAACGTAGAACTCAGCCCGACATTCACACAGATCTACCCTGATTAAATAAAAGAAAATAAATCAGAAACAAAAGTTCTGAATAAAGAGTATTTATTTTTGGCTATTTTCGTCTACCTCCAGACGATTTCTCTGCGCATTTTAACTTTGTGTAGTTCAATTGGTCGAAAGAAAATTCACTAAACAACCTCAAACTCTGCAATATACAATGAACCGTTTTACTCAAGTAGGGACCACAAAGGCGTATGAATATCGGGGTGGAGATATCGCGCACAAGCTCACAAGGTACACCCAGTACAGTCGAATATACTTTCAAACGCTGCTGGATTCAAGAACCATTTTCTCTGGGAATGCGTACTTTGCAAGTGAGCGTTGTGGTATCATTTCAGATTAGGCTCCTCCCCCTCTCTCCCTCTCTATGAGAAAGTGACCTCTGAAGATTTCAGCGGACTATGCTTGTAAACATTACCATAATGTCGTGGTGGTGGTGGGGGGGGGGGCTGCAAAATTAACTCAAGCGGCACAAAAGGGGTATTAGGAAGTTTCAATGAGCCGTTCTCCTCCTGATACGGTATGTTTTAGGACTTTTGGGCTCCCAATAAGGCGGTCAGGCTTGGTAGCAAAACTGGAAAATCCATCAATACCAATTTTGTTTAAATGACAGGGACAGAAACTGATCCAATAACTCAAAAGCGGGGAATGCGTTCAATCATTACCCGTAGTGCACGTGGTTTGGGGGAATGGGCTGATGTTGGCGTATCAAGGGGAGGGGGTTGGATTTTGTTAGTACTAGTACCGTTTCTAAAGTGTTGGCGTTTTTGGAAGAAATAAAAATATTGTGCAACATCTCCCAGATACACCAAAGCAGATAGGCCATTAAGTAATTGTTTAGTAACTTACTGGCAGACAGCATCTGGGTAGCCAAGACACTCTCGCTTGTACCAACACGGGTTGATGAATCGGCACAGGGCCTGGTACCACTTGCAAGTCCGCAAGGGTGTTTCGATCTCTGGGAGAATAATTAAAAATAATGTTATCACCGGAAGTATATACATGTATATTGCCCATGCTTTTAGGACAAAGCATCCAAGCAATCAAAATTTCGATTTTAAATGGGAAATTTCTTGGCACTATACCAAAGGTTTCCTGATGAAATATCGGTCCAAAAATGAGTACTATCGATTTGAATTGAGTTGCTTAATATTAAGAAATAAAATAGATTACTGTTGTCTGAAAGATGTTGTCTGCATGGGATAAAGTCCACCGTTATATATATTTAGCTTCATCACTGAACTACTTCTGTATAAAGGGGTCTGGGAGGTGAAAAAATAAACTACGCAATATGTTATGCTTGCACTGTAATGCGTGGCACAACGCGACAGGCGACGACGGTCGGACACGGTGGATGACAGAAGAGGCGACGTGACATTTTCGCTCAAAACTCCACAAGATGATAATAAGGTGATGCGACGGACGCACGACGGCGTTTCTTTCCATCACTCTTTCCCCCCTCTAAACTCAGAATTATCATTTTTTTGAATAGTAAACTACAATAATTTTTTTAATCTGCTGTGTCGTAAGCAAGGCAAACATCTTGTGTAACACTTACCACGCGTTTGCACGCTGACTGCCAAAATTTGGTTGGCCAAAATCGCTACGACAGCGATCACCAATGTAACTGCTACACATACTCGCATGCTGCAGATGCTCTGAGTACGACAGCGTAGGCTAGAAGTGGTGAAGTTAGCGTTTCGTCGGTAAATTATACGACAGAAGGCGAGATCACAAAAAAGTAGTCACCCAAACTTCTGCTTCTAACACTGACAAGAGTGGTGTGCCGTACTCCGATCAGACGCTTTTTGTATATTCGGCGAGGTCCTGTTTGCCGAACCTTGTACCTTGATAGAGTTAGAAGTGGGTCATCTTCCGATAACAGTGGTTTGGAGTGATGGGACCAAAGTAGCGGTTACGACAGACACCTGTTGGAGGTTGGGCTTTCCAGTTACCCTTAAAATGGCTAATTTATCATGGTTGCTGTGTACATAGTGACGAGCTTGACCATAAATAGGCTAATTTCAAGGGAAGTGACATCTTAGCGCCGGACACCGGATTGGTTCAGTTTTCACGGTCAACTTGGATTTCGAGTGGGTGACCGTTGAGCTACGGTGGTACCAGCTCGAGAAGAGCTCCATGAAAACCACATCCGAGACATAATTCATGTTGACAGTATTTACGTTCTCCTTACAGCGAAATCTGTTGTTAAGAATTTGTTTTCTCAGAGCTTGTGATAATAATCATAGTGTTAAACAATTAGTCACCATTGGGCCAACTCCCCATTGGTTATAAATCTGACCACAGTAGTCAATTCATTGGCAAGGTCACTGTTGCCAATCTACAATGGGGAAGTGTGGTAAGAAACGTGGCAGGGTAAACTTCGCAGGGGGCGGGGGGGGTTGAAAAGCTTAATGCAGGGGCACGTGCTTCGTTAGACATCAGTGCCCACAGGTGTCCACCACTGGCGAAAACTGCCTTTCCTCCAAACAAGCAGGCTGTGTTCCTTGAAGTTTAATGCACCTTGTTTATCCCTCAAAGAGCCAGATATAATTATGCTGCTGAAGGATGGTGGGGCTGTCCAAGGGCGTCAATCCGTTTTGAAATGTGGGTGGGACATAGCCCTGATTAGAACAAATGCGAGCGCGAAGCGCGAGGCTCTGAGCAGCGTGGGGCCCTTGAAAATTTTGAACTATAGATGCTTTGTGGTGTGATCTGAGACAATTTTTTGCTACTTTAGCCAGTGTTATAGACAAATGCTTTTGCAAGCTATATGTTTTCATTTAGGTATTGGAAAAAAAAGTGTGTGTGCGGGCGTGTGTGTGGGGCAATATTATTGATATATTATCCCCCACTTAACCCGAAGTGGGGGGGGGGACATGTCCCACCCGTCCCCCACCGATTGACGCCCATGAGCTGTCGAATTCTGTGAGCCCCTCAAGAGCTCTCGTGATCCGTTCCGGTTTCTGTTAGCAAAAAAATCCTTTATTTTTAAAGGGTGAGTGGTATTCGATGGGTTTGGTGCAGTCAAAGATGCCTTTTCGGACCTACCCTGAACATTAGCGCCTTTGACAAGCTCAGCGCATTCACTAAAATAGTAACGTAAATGTCAAAGTGCACATTGAAAATTGCGCGGTTTAGTGTGGGTGAATGGGTCACGGGGAGACATTTTGTGTGGTAAAGTTGAGTAGGCCTACGGTTTTATGGTGAGAAAAAACTTTCCGCATGGACTGAGACGATGTTACTGTCACATGAACGATTTTCGACAACAAACCAGGCATGCCCCAGACACTAAGGCCAACTATGTACTCATTCTTATCAGTAATCCTGTGAAACCATAACTACCTTAACCTAAAAAGAATCAGAAAGGGCACAGATAAAGAGAGAGAAAAAAGTTCTCAGTTTATCTAAGTGAGAACTGATGGAAGCCATTATTCTTCAACGGGGGCCTCTCCATGGAAGTTGACCTAGAGAGTTGATGGTACAGACGATTAGCCTATCTGTTCTGCGTTATAGGAATATAGTCCACACACTGATCTTAAAATTAAGTCCGTGAACAGATTTCATTGCTTTGAATGAAAGAAGAAAAGATTTTGGAGGATGCTGACAGCACGCAGCACGCTCGGGACTTGGCAGAAACTTGGGTTAAGCGTATGTACTTACAATGATGACACCATGGATCTTCAAGATCCTTCGTGAAATCAATAGTGCGGTGCAAGCGATGGTTTCTTAACTTCAGGCGAATGGTGGAATTGACCAGAGCCCTTCCAGGAATCGATACAAGTAATTATTGGGATCATCGTGTGACCACGCATGCCTTCCAGGTCCCTCCGGTTTGAAATTGTTAACAAAAATTAATCAAAAAGCCGCAGTCCATTTGCCTTCAGTGTCCCTTGAAAAAGCTGTGCCCCACAGTGCAACCACGAAGCTGCATGTTATTACACCACTGGTTCGTGGGAATGTCCGTGTCAAATTTACTGTCATAGTTTTTGTTGGGGTACGAGCGAAACCTCACCCGTCAGTCTACGTGTGACAGTCTACGTGTGTTCTAGCACGATGAAAATCACACTCCACCTCAACTTGGTGACAGAAAGTATTACCCGATAAGATTGTCATATCACATGGTTATCTTCAAATGAATCATAATACGCAAAATGTATTTGTATTTGGCAAGGTTGACATACACAGGAATTCTATGAAAAAGCTATTTTCTGAATACCACGGTACTGATAAAATTTATTTGAGTGCAACTCCATAAAGAAAAATAGTAAATAGTAATGTAGCAAAAGATTTTGCCCACAGCGCAAGACACACGCGTCTTCTGCAATTTTACTCTAATTCAACATTTCTGGAGTTGTTTACAGAAAAAAGTAACTGGGTGAAGTCAGAAAAAACGAATCCAACTAAATTAGGAACATCAATTTCCTCAGCTTTATTATCTCTCTCGACAAGCATCACTGCAGCGTTGAAAATAAAAGGCACAAACCCCACGGCAATTAAATACATATGGACCATAATGCATGAAACCCCTGCGATAAAACCCTCCGCCTCAAATCATGTCTACCTTAAATGCTGTACTTCAGCATTATTTTTTTTCAATTTGACTGTGATGCTCTGTTGTTAATGAAGAGAAACTTTACAAATTCAAATGAACTACAGCTCAACGAGTTCTGCTTCGAAGAAAGGAAATACTTAAGGGCTTCTGGGTCCTCAAAAAGTGCTGTATACAATATTAAGCAATGTTTATGGTTATGCATACATTGCATTATAGAATTTGAGAGTTAATAATTCTCCTAAACTTCCCCGAGTAAATGAAGTTTCTTTCTTTGCAGTTATTTGTCTACAATGTGTCATAAACACACGAAGAATAAATTCATATGGCAACCAGCAGTGTGTTACCCAAAACACTTTGAATGTGACCCATTCTAACAACAACTACGATGTAAGGCCAAATTCTACTACATGTACGGCAAAAAGTGATACATATACTCTACGTTCTACGTATACGTTCTGTGTATTTTATCTTTAAGTATACACGTGTGGCACATTGATGTATTTAATTTTTTAACTGACCAAACCTAACTTAACAAAGTCAAACATATTTAATTACTGGTCTAACAAACAAAAAACAAGGCATCTTGTCTTACTTGATGTCCAATATACATTGTACTTGCAAGCCTATTAATGTCTATATGGCTGAAAGAATGTACCAGATAAGATGCTTCCACAAATGAACGGGGAAAATCAATTATATCTCACGCAAAAAAAATGATGGATGGGTATTTTTCCCCCTCTGAAACCGACAACACTGAAAAAGGCAACAAAATTAAGTAGGGTTTCACAGTTCCTTTGAAAAGACACTAAACCAGTCCAAAAATATTTCCAGCAAAGTGGATCTCTGGAAACTACATGCTCAAACCTATACCAGAAGCAAGGACAAGAAATAATTTGAGGGAAAGCCTAAATGCAACCGATATTTGTTCCCATTTCACTCACATGAACTTATTAAAAACCAATATAAACTGCAGTGATGTAGTCGAGTATTTTTTGAGAACCAAGTTCTCTACCAAATATTTAACTAGTAATCATCACTGTTTGATTGAATTTTTAGGACAAAAGTACTCAGAAACTACTCGGCTGAGTACTTTCTGAGTATTTTTCTCCTTAAAACTTAAATTTTACACAACTGGGAGTGTCTGAAGTCTAACATTTATTTTGTAATCTTACCTTTGCACATTTACCATCAAATGCCTGTGCACTCTGGCTTTATTCCCTCTTACCCAGTTCAGTATTTTGCGGAGAACGTTGGTACTCGGAGAGTACTCGACTACAACACTGATAAACTGTCAGCATAAATTACTAGAATTCTCGGACAGCATGATCTAGATCTGCGCTTACATACGTGTAGCACTTCTATGGTATGCTGCTTTTAAGGCTAGCATACATTAACAAGACTAAATTTCACAAATAATTTCAAAATACTTATAACCAGGTACCCAGGGGTGGATCCAGGAATTTTTTTCCAAGGGAAGGTCAGGCTGGAGATTTTTTTGAAACTCTGATTTTTGCAGACAAGCGGAAGTAATTATGAAACATTACATGACGTACATTGTTTACAATGGTATTGCTGTACCCATAAGAATTGGACGATCTTGTTTTTAAATTTACTTTTTATTATTTTAAAAAGTTACCTCCCCTATTTACCTTTTTGCTTTTGTTTCTCTGGGGAGGGGGGTTTGACCCCAACCTCCCGTCTTGGATCTGCACCTGGTACCTCAGCTGATAAAATGTTATTTCTCAAATAAGAATGCTTCACATTACTTCTAGATTTTGTGAAGTTGTGGTTTCCATTAAATAAGTGGCATTATACCGACTCCAGTCAGCAGTGCCTTTAAAAAGTACACATATAATAAACACACCCACTCATTTCTTTCTAATGAATTAAGACAGAATTACCACGCTCCGATGCAAACGTACTTGGGAAAAACCAGGAAACATACTGACGAGGTGGTTAACAATTTCCGCAAAAATCATGCTTACGTACACAAGTCACTTCAAATATGTACTGACACACCTACACAATTTGCATGCTTATGTTAATCATTAATACTTTCCATGTTACTGGTGTAATATCCTTACAATTGCTCCAAAGTTGGAAGTTAAATGTTTGTTCACTTGCCTGCCATGCACAAGCTCATTGCAAGCTATGAGTCAAGCATATTTTCAAGGGCTACAGTGACCTGCTTTCAGACTTAATTTAGCAAGAGACGACTGAAATAGAAGTTTTTGCATATGCCACGAGTCACATATCCAGTGAACCCACGTTGGCCTTTGAAGAGGCCTAAACTGCTCCTTTAAGACCCCAACATGACTGACTTGATGCCCGATGGTCTTTGGTATTTTACATACAATTGCTGTGCACTTTGCTCAGCTGACATCACAAAAGTTTCCCAAACAATACAACCGGTATTCACCTATGACCTTCCACGCTACAAATTATGGCAACCACCTATGCACACACACAAAATCCAACATAAACTGTCATTTTTGGGGGGGCTGCTTCCTATGAGATTATGGTACAATCATGTTACAATCTTCAGTGCACGCAGAACTGGAGTTGCTTTGGTTCTTCATGTTAAAAATAATTTCATTTGATAACTTACAACACAGTACTTTAAAAACTACCAAATGAACACATTGCTTTTAGTCTCGAAAGCTTGTCTGTATTGGTGCACTTTTCAAAAGTTTTGATGCTGCATGTATAGATTCAAGCTCACTGCCACAAAATCTGCATTTATGCTGTGAACTGGTCTCAACCACCAAACACTCTGGTTGGTACTGGCTACTTGTCTACATTAAAGCTTTATTTCATTCTGAGTAAACTGTACAATATACATTACTTTCACTTGCTTTCTCAAAATACTTCCAGAGCTAACAGAGTTTCATTTTCATAATGATATTCTTAAACTTGTGTTTCACAACGAAAATTGGTTTAAAAACCATCAAATATCCCTACTTCAAATGGTTGCTTACTTGTTCTAAAGTCCAAGTTTAATCTACATACAATTTGTTCGCATTTCACACATTCTGGTTCAGACACGTTCAGACAAGATATCAGTGATTTGCTTATTCCGTTATGTATGTGCCTACGCAAAAAACTAATAAAGACTCTTGGAAAGTTTTCATCATGCAAGTCAGTCTAACTTTATTTCAAAAAAAGAAAGAAAAAAAAAATCCTTTTGTGAATACTGAAAGAAACATTGTAATTCATAATTTTTTTTCCGACAAAACTCAGACAGACAAATATATGTAATTCCAGGTCATAATTTTTGTCTTTTTTAAGGCTTCACATATTTGGTAAGCCTCTACAGTGTCACACTATACGATTTTTTTAAAGTTGCCGTTAAAGTTCTGACCAATTTTATTTTTTGTTTGCACATCTGTTTACACATCTGGTTAATCTTTTTATACTCTGCCACACATCTTAACAATATTTTTATACCGGTGCTGCTTCAAACTTAATAAATATTCCACATGCTCCTTCAAATCTCATTAATATTAAATTGGTAAGGGTGGTACATCTGAACTCTACAACCTCGAGCTTATACTTGGACAGTTCTCAAGCAGAATGTGCTAAATCTGTCTATACACTGAAAAGCAATGGCTGCTATCCACAGTGTACTGAAAACTACTTGTTTAATGCAGTTTTACCATAGTTAATGGGACATGCATCTACGATGAACAATGACCTTTAATGGACATTATACACTAATTAATATATTCAGCCAGCTAGTGTATGTTAGAACATATGGGCAGCTAACATTGCTTGGTCAGGTCATATTATGTAACCAAATATTTTAAACCAAAATCTTAAAAGAGAAAAAGTGTAATTGTTTATATTTATTATAATTAAGGCAAAACAAATCACAGTTCTAAACCCTCTCTGTTAAAAGATGAATAAAAATACCTACAGACACAATCCAACCCCCACCTGAAAAAAACCCCAAAGCAGAGCTATATATTTACTTTCTTGTATAATAATGTAATGTATCTCATCGGTTAGGTAATTGAATTACTTCAGGACTGACTTTTCAATTTTCCTTTTTATGTGAAAACCGAAGTGGTTTAAAGGACTACTTCATATGCAACACATGAAAACTGAAAATGAATTATGTGCAACTCAAGCACAAAACAGAAGAATTGAAAATAACCAGAAGAAAACTTGATTACTTTGCCAGAGCAGTTTGTTTAAAGTGTTTCATGACCATTGGTTGCTAATAAAAACTACATCTTACACTATTTATGACCTTTGCCATTTAAATTATTTCTTATTATGCGGCTAGCATAATTACTGCCCAGAGAATGACAATGTATTATACAAAACGCGTGAGTCACATACTCATAACATTAATTTTCCAAACATGCACTCCATGGTTCAAAGGTCAAAAGGACAAGGGCCTCTAACTGGAGAGTTGAGCTTGAATAAGTTTTGGAATCATCTGGAATATTTTGATTTTTCTTACCCTTTCCCGTTGAGGGTTGGGAGTCAGGTTGCCCTCTAATCCTCGGTGAAGTGCGTTTGCACGTGACGTTCGTAGTCAGCATTGGGCATCTCGCAGGGCATCATCATGTTGCACATGGGGCAGATCCGGGCAAAGTGGTTCTGGACATGGGCGGCAAAGTCCTCTTCCGAGAATGTGGGCGGGAAGTGCATGTTGCACTCCGGGCACGTCTTTACGCTGCTGCTGTCGCCCTCGCCTGGCGGAAAGTCTTCGCAGGCATCATGGAACTCGTTTGGCCCCTCCTCTCTGCTGAGATTGAAATAAGAGGCTTCAAAGAATGACACGAGTTCAAGGGAACTTGCTACTCCTCTTGCATGCACACTGAAAATGTCACTCTGTAAAAAATTCTGCCAGCCAAAATTTTGCCTTGGTCTTAGTGTGGAAAGAGACAAAATTTGTGACAGGGTAACTTTAAGTGCAAATTTCACTCAACAAATATTGATTTAAATGGTACACTGTGGGAGAAATATATCACTAAACATAAGACTTTCTTTAAGTTTAGTGGCAAATGTTAATTTTGAATTACACTATGGACGCTTGATGTACCTTTCTGGACGGAACAAGTGATATAACACATGGGGAAGAATGGGCCTGCACCCTTGGGATCATTTCATTCTGTAGGATGTTTTATTAGGACGTGCATAACTGTCTACTGTATCTTCTTGTCTGGTGATGAGTAAATTACATGCAACTTCAGAAGGAATTCAGAAACAGTGAGGAAATTTTGACCATCAAAAGACTTTGTGTACAATGCTTTTCTAGTAGTAACTACACAAATGAGAAATAAAAGCAAGGACAGCAGCTGATCCAAGGGAGAAGCTGCATGCCTCTAGAGAAAAACACAATCTCACCTCTCCTCTTCACTACCCTCAGGGTGTCCCACGGTGGCAGCCAAGTCCAGGAGACGGACTTGTTTCTTGGCTACCGTCTTGATGGCAGCAATCTTCCCCTCGGGCAGCACGTCTGGCTTAAGGGGCTCGGGAAGGGGGGGCTTTTCACCCTTGCTTCCCGTGTCAGGGGGGTTCTTGGGGGGCAACTCAGGGACAGCCGGAATCTTACTCAGGCTTGGCGGAGTTGAAATAAGAGGGGGAGCCGTTGGCGTGATGAGTGGCTCTTCCTTCGACGCCTCCTCTGCCTGGAAAGGATTGTAGCCTGGCGGTTTGCGGATTTCGCTGCGTGCAATCTCGCTGGGTGGGTCGGTGTAAGGATTTGGGAAGGTGCATCCTGGCGGAACAGATCCCCCCTCAGTGTAGGGGTTCCGGAACATGTACTGCCCTGCGGGGGGACCGGGAAGGTGAACACGCAGAGGGGAATGAATGGGGCTTATTTGGGGGGGAGTGCTTGGCGGCGAGGCTGTGGCAGGCATCCCAGCAGTTGGGCTGGCATTCTGCAGGACATCAAACTTGTACACTTCAAGGGTGTGCTTCATCTTCATGTAGTCAGTGTGCAGCTGGCTGACCTTCTCACGGAGTTTCTGATTGTCTTCCTGCATAGGAAGCCAATACAATGGAGATATGTTACTCCTGAATTCCAAAGTAACCAATTCCTAACTATTAGAGCACGTAAAACTTTAAAGTTTGGCATTTAAGCCGGAAACTTTTACAAGTAAAAGACTTAAACCAGAAAAAAAACCACAGGTGCAGTGCAGTGATTTTACTTTCACTTTTCCTCAACCAGGGGTCATTGCTCTTAACATTTTCCGTAATGAAGAAAACTTTCACATTTGGTAACTGAGACTTATGCATTTAGAATAAAATAAAAAAAAAATGTACATGTAGTTAGATTTTGACCTTTGACCTTAGGAATGTTACTACTTGAGACGGATTAAGGAAGGATAATCGTATATTACATACAGGCAACAATGCTCATTTTCCCCTTTCACAGGTTGGCCGTTTTGAATGTGCAAGTTGAGATGATGCAGAAGGGGCAAATCACAGATTACTATTCTTGTGCTCTAATAGGTGGTTCTAAATTATGGAAACGCCAGGTCACCTTTACTGTCTAAATGAAAACTATTTTCCAAAGTGCTACAATACCTGTAATCACAATAAAAGAGCCAGGCTCCTTCCCATTTCAGCATGCTCAGTAAATAAAGTGGATTTGGGGAACCTTATCCAAAATGGGCATCTTTCAGGTAAGGTGTATTGCTGAAGCACTAAAACTATATTCTGTGGGTCCAAGGTTGAGGTCTCTCAACATGTAATGTAATCACATAAAACTTTTAACTACAAGATTCAAAAAAGACTCCAGCGTGGTCTTCTCAGTGCACAATGACAGTGACATCCACTGCCATTGTCATTTTTGTCAGGTTTTTTTTTGTGTACCTCTTTCTCATCCAGCTCCTGGGCCCAGCTGTTGGCTGCCTCCAGTTGCATCTCAAATGCGATGCGTTCCTTCTGGAAGGTCTCCTCTTGGTGCTGTCGTCGCTGCTTCTCGACCTGGATCAACAGGATACTGCACAGCATTAACATTGGCTCTCATAGGCCCTGTTTGTTTCACACAGATCCAGGGATGAGATTGACCAACAATAAAAATAGCTGAAAACAGCTGAAAGAAGGCACAAAGAAACTGAACTGTGAAAATTTCCTATACTTTTGTTCACAGCCAGTGAGAAAAAAGCTGAAATCCCAAACAAAAAAAGCTGAAAATCAGCTAAAAAACTGAGAAATCTCATCCCCGTGGATCCAAATCTTGATCAGTAATTCATTGGATGGAGCAACCAAGTGTTATGATCACAGATCGAGATCCAGAGCCTTGTGAAACAAACAGGCCCTAAGCAGTTTGGTACAAAACCCTCCAATGCCTTAGTCTATGGCTAAGTCTATTACCTGTTGTATTTGCAAATGCCGAAGATCTGGACCCAACTCCTGATATAAGATTCGGGAGTGGCCATAGTCAGCTTTTTTTTAACAGGCAATGATCTTGACTGACCTGGTACAGCTCCTTGTACTTCAGGACCTTGGTGCTGCGCTCCTCCAGTTCTTGGGCCAGATCCTTCAACTGTGTCTGCAGCTCGGCATTGTCAAAGGATTTCTCGGGGCTTTCGCAGCCCCCCCTGGAAGGACTGGCTTGGTGCTGCAGGGGCTCATGGAGCTTTCTTTCTGAAGAGTCAGAGTTGAAAGTTACAAGAGATCAGTTTGCCTTCCAAGATTTCCACCTTTTTTCAATATAAGGAGTAATGACTCTTTAACCCAGGATCGTAGGGACATTTCTTGAAGGAAGTTTGATAAAACCTCCAAAATCCAACACCACTAAAACAATGTCAGGAAATCAAGCTGTGTGTACAGCAACAGTTGATGGGGGTGTAAACTCCTAGAAATACCCTCAAAACTAGCCTGATGTTGGATTTGGAGGACTAAGCTGTCCTGAACTCGTCCACCAGGGAGCTCCAGAGCTTTGTGCAAAGCTGGAGAATGCACAATCTCCATCGGGGACATCAGATGATGACTTTTGGATCTGGTCTCAGTTGGCAGAAGTATGGCGAAGCAATGGAGAGCTTCCAATGTGATCAGGACAACTTTGCTCGGCATATGGTACCCAGCTGATAACACATGAAGACTGTGCAAAATGAGGGTTGTTTGGTTTGAGATTTAGCAGGATGGAGGTTGTTCTCTATGTTCTTGAGAGAGTTTGTGGGGAAGGATTCTGACAAGTTTGGTAACTTGTGTGTGTTACAGTAAACATTAAGAGTTAGGTACTGTAAAAATAATCTTTAAAAATCTAGATCTCAAATCTAGAAAAGGTGCAGATATGCATCTGCTGCATGCATGGATTGTTTATCAGGACTCACCGTCTTCCTTGATGGCTGGGCTCTCCTCTCGGGATGCGGTGCGGCCCCTCTGACCTGACCTCTTCTTTAGCTTGCTCTCCAGCTGCTGGCACTCCAGAAACTTCTTCTTGTACTCCTCTGCACCCATCTGAAGGCGAAGCTTCATGTCGCTGACCTCCCGGGTCAGGTCGCTCTGTTGCTGGGTATGGGTGGATTCCAGGGTGTTCTGCAAAAAGAGGCACTGTGATTGGTTGGCAGCCCCAAAAATTATCAAATTAAATTTATGTTTAGCTATAAGTCATTTTGCAAGCAATAGACTGTATTCATGTGTGAGCCATCTTGAATTGAAAAGTGAGGTTAATAACTTTTCATTTTGGGAATACGAGATACCAAAAATATTAAATAAAATACTAATGACAGTTTATGTCTAGAATTATTTTAATTCAAGATAAATCAAATGTATTAAAATGCTCAAGCAACATTTAGAATAACTGAAAGTGAGGCTTGGAACCCCAAATAGTCTGGCACCACCCCCATTTAACAAATCACATTGAATATAATAGATTCAGGGAGCAAGATCGAAAATGGCTTCCCCATGATTAAGATCTATTACATCATTAATGTACTGATCTTGGACAAATTACGATACAGCCCTCCCCCTTCACAAAAGAAAGAAAAAAATGGAGGTTGTTTGCAAAGTATCATCTGAAAATAGTTGTCAATTATGTGTCTAACCTACTTGGTTACGACTGAAAATAATGCATGCACCTATGGATACTGTCAGCTTGTGGCTTGTGGAACTGCCTATATATGCCTGTGTTATCTCCAGTCATATCCAGATAACTTGTACGCAGCCTGAGCTTGGGCAGTGTGTCTTTGCCCTTGGGACCACCTGCTCTTACCCCAGGGATCAAGTCTTGTAAAATATCCACCAATGCACGAACAGAAGCAAATCAGACAACAGGGAAGGCAGCATGGTCTAGTGGCATAAAAATGGTTGTGGCCGCATTACATGACTACAGTTGGAAAAAAAAGAATGTGTTGCTGGAAGTGCAAAAAGGCTGCTATCGGTAGCTGGGGCTTTTCATAGGCCTAGGCATAATTTTCAGTCGCAGTCAACTCATTTGGACACTGCCACCTAACACAATCAAAAGTTTCAGAGCATCAAAAGGTCACTCTGTTTGCTCTCCTTACCAGTTTCTTTTGGAGTTCCACTCTCTTCTTAGTCTCCTCCTCCAGCTTCCCCTTGGCTTTCTTGAGTTTCTCTTTCAGCTCCTTCATGACAACCTGGGAGGCTTCCATGGGACCCTTGTTGGAGCGCAGGGCTTGTTCCTTCTCCTGGTCAGGACAACAAAAGCGATGCAATGGTAGAAAGAGGACTTCGTTCTCTATGATACGATCATCTGGTCAGTGCACATCCAAGATTTGACATTTGACTGCAGCAGACTTTTTTGTGATTCCAATATGACAACGGGGATGTGAAAGACTTGGAATCATTACGGAATCAAATGGTGCTGCATTTACATCAACTGCAAGGGTAGGATAAGTTCGGTCCAAGTGATAGGGATGCAAAACAAGGAATGCCCTTTTTAGCAGATAATTTGAATATCTTGAAACATGACTTGTGGTGGATATGACTGGACTGCCAGAAATGACGGACTTGACCACTGCACTCTGGGTTGGTTCTCTGCCAAAGCACTGAACACAACCACTGAACTGGTTCTGAATGTTTTCATGAGTACACCTGTGAATGGCGCTCATATGCAGTGCACTGTATATGCATCAAACAAATGCGCTGAAGACATGCAACGTAAACCTCATCTTTTCAAAGTGCTGTTCAGGCACACGGTCGTCACTGCCTCCAGTTTTGTGTACAACAAGCAAGGTAATGCAGACAAATCATGATAAACATTTCTCTTGGAATGTGGCACAACAAGGAGTTGTGCCAAATGAAAGATTCTCAAGCACAACCACCACACTGGTGCACAAGAAGAAGACACTGTACTTTTCAGTGGGAAAGACTATTTTTCCACCAAGGTATGTTTAGTTTTGTAAAGCACTCATACCATAGATGGAAGAGAACCACCACCAGTGTATCATCTAACCACCTGTCAACCTGCCCTGACGACAGGGAAAGACAAATGGAGACAGCCAGTTGTTGCTTTCAAAGTTCTAACCTTACAAACTCCCTTGTTTACATAAATTTTTAACATCGGTGAACAAGTCTTCACATTTCCTTCAAAAATACAGGGTGCAGTTGAAACATGGCCTCGGACAGCACCAAGGAGTGTCAGTTCCAAACACTTCCTGGGAGAGCGGACGGGTAGATTTTACCCTTGGCTGGGGAAAAGGACAGGTAAATATTCTAATCCTGGAGGAAAACCTTGACCACTAGCTCTACCTCGGCCAGCTGCTTGATGCTCTCCTTGAGGGCCTGCACCTGCTCTTGGAGCATGGTTTCCCTCTCTCGTCCCTGGTGCTGCTGGAGATGCAGTTTGCTCTTCAGCTGCTTCTCCCGCTCTCTGTGTTCATTCTCCAGGCGCACAATGCGGCTCTTCAGGGCGTCTTTGTCAGTCTCTGCCCGCTGTTTTGGGGACAGAAAGGAGAAAAAAATTCCTCATTGAATTCTTCCATTTCTGTTATTTAGGTGATTTACAGTATGCGCACACATTTAAGACCATCCGCAGCAATGTGAAAATCTCAGTTCTTATTCAAGTTCCCAGTCTCCTGCAATGACTTGCCTTTCTAATGGAAAAGTAATGTGAAACTACCAAAATGTATCAGTCAATGCCTGCCTAACAGACTCCTTTCCCACTTTCACATCCTTCATAACAAAAGTCAGGTAAAGAATTGCTACATCTTTGGGCATTGTTGCAAAGATGCCCTGAGACTCTGCCATGATCCAACACCTTCAAATCAAAGGCTCAATCTTTTGACCTGAACATATTTAAAAACTAAGCCATGCAGATATCGACAGGGGGTGGACAGTTCAGTTATAAATCCATAAAATACAGTAAACTATACATAATAGAAGGGAAAACTATGAAGATAGTCATGGCTGAAACGTGTATGACAATAAGTATTTTCCAAGAAAATTTCCCATCACTTTTACGAGGTCATAATAGTACTATCAAAAATTGACTCGAAAAAACTTCTTTGATATATTCAAAAAACAATTTGGTCATCTGCTCTCTAAAAAACAGAACACTTGAATCTCAACAAATCTTTTGAACCTGAATTTGTTTTTGATTGGCCAATCTGTGGGAGAAGATCAAGGGTGCTTTGTTGTCTGGGAATGACTTGGGTTATTAGACTTCACTCCTCCTGACCTGCAGGTCATTTGAGAGTTTGTGCTGGATGTCCTTTAGGGTGTCAATCTCCTCGCACAGCATCCTCTTGTTGGTTTTGCACACTGCATACTGATCTTCCAGTGACTGTAGCTTCTGCTCAGTGCTTCGAATGTGATTCTGGTGGATGGGGGGGATGCCCACAAAGACGAAATCAATGACAGAGTTCCACACACCTCTTATAACAAGTTTTACAAACTGTCTGTCTTTAGACCAAACAGTTTTACAATTAAAAAAAATTTGTGATAATTCCCTGAGTGTGTTTTCCTCAACAAATAATACCATGAGGAACAAGTGTCAGATGACAAACTTGAACAAACTCTGCAAATACAGGTGGTAACTGTTCTTTTGACACGGATAATGAAACATTTTTCTTCAATTGACGATAAATCTAAAATCCCCTACGTACCTTTTCAGGCATTCAGAAGAACTAAAATACACTAAAATGACAAAGATGCATGCGTATGGATACCAAGAGCACCTAATACGGTCAAATAAGAGAACGAAAGAGGGTTCTCCACCACTTAGCAACAACTTCCCGTTGGTCTAACCATTGTCTGACAGTTGCTCTTTCTCACTGATGCATGCCATTTCCTTGTTTCTTTTTAAGAATGAAATGTGAGTGGTTACGGATGTGGCAAACAGGTGTTGAGTACTGTACTCTTAGTTGTTCATTGGTTAATTCTGCATGGAGGCCAAATGTGTCTGGATCCCATAGTCTTAAGGCCATATTTTGAATGTCCTGCCTCTGTTTGTATCAGAAAATAAAACCACAAAGGGAGCTTTTTTCATTTTGATGATCCCTCAGTTCACCATCCCGAGGAAAATGAACACTGCCATCTCTGTGGATTTAAATTATGAACAAGGCTTTTAAACCCTAACTGCCCAGTATCCATCAAACTCCAACAGCAGGTTTTGCCAGGTTGGTACCATACCTGATGAACTTCTTGTAGAATTTTGTTTGACTTGGTATCAAAGGACCAGGGTGATGGTGTTGGATTTTTTGCGATCTGGGACACACAGGGGTGACTGTGTGCAGTGTCTGGCTTGTGGTAACAAGTGCTCGACTATGCTTAATTTTGTCAGATTTGGTACTACTTAAGTCAACCTATACCGCATAGACCCATCCATATCTTGTCACTCAAACTCCCATGGAGTCATTTTGTTGGAGTTTATCAGGCTTGGTAGACTGACCTTCTTGTACAAGTGCATGTATCTCTTGAAGTTTGTTGGGTTCAGTGTGCCCTCTAGTGTAAAAGCCTAGGGGTTAGGGTTAAACATCTTTAAGTCAAAGGTGTCTGAATTTGTGACCCATTGTTAGGTTGGGTCAACAAATACTGGTGACTCACAATAGTGCTCCACCAAAAGGTTGCCAAGAAAAGCCATTATTCAAAGTGCATTACGGAAAGGTCGACAAATTCTATTCACTGGCTGTGTGCAGAGACCTTGACTTATTCACAATGTTTGCTTTTCATTGAAGATTCATAAGCATATTAGCAGTAGCTTTATTCAATCCTTTCTTCTTTCTACTGCATGAAATGTCTCAATCCATTCAAAATTTTCAAAAATGCAAAAACCGACAAGGTGGCTAAGGTTTAGTCAACCATGAGCTTGAAAAACGACCTCTTCGTGGCAACCTCTTGGTGGCGCACTTTATTGTGAATCATCCTGTATCACAGCCCATCAGTGCAGGATCGGTACCTGATCGGCCTTGGCGACCAAGAGCTCCTGTTCCACCCGGCGCTTCTCCTCCCTGGCCAGCACCTCCTGCTGCTTGACCTCCTGGTTGGCCTGGCTTGTGGCCGACAGTTGCTGCATCAGGCTGGAGATATCGCTGCGCAGGACCTTGTTTGAGTTCTCCGAGGATGCAAACTGGCTCTGGTGGACAAGGATCAACAACAGAGACACTGTGTGGATAATGTGAGGTTATCGGTTTAACGACATTTCGATTTAAAAAGAAAATCAACATCAAGTCTGGTTCATACTTGTGGCAGAAGTGACGGTAAATGAGATTTTACTGTGGTGCAAATATTTGCGGTGATGTCACAAATTCGCATTTGTTTTCATACGTAGCATAAATTGGGCTGAGCACTTAATTTGTAGGGGAAGAGTACAAAACTTGTGTACCACACTGACATTGCAGAAGAACCTCATTGTGAATTGATAATGAAGAACTTGTGCGCTTGATAATGTATGGAGCAAAATATTATCTGTTCAGGTGGGAAATGAATGAAATGAACAGAAACCTGAAAATTATTGTACACTTGGCATTTTGTGATTGCTGATTGGTTCCCTAGTGAAGCCTAAGAACACAATAAAGAAAGTTAAACAGCACCAACAAGATTCCCGAGATGTTAGTGCAAGCAAGCACACTGGTCTAATTGAGTCATTAGAGGGTGCATTATGCATGATCTGTTATCATGCACTAGCCTTTTGGGGCCAACTCTCCCTTACCTTGAATTCATCCCTCTCCCGCAACACCTGGCTCAGGTCCTTGACCAGTTGGTCCTTCTCGGCCGCTGCCTTGGCCGTCTGGCCCTGGGCCTCCTGCAGCTTGGTCTTGGTGGCCTCCAGCGCCTTCTCGCAGCGGGCCTTGTCCTGCTCCAGGCTGCTCAGGGCATTCAGGGTCTCCTCCAGCCGCCCCTCCAGGATCGTCTTCTCACGCAGCAGGCTCTGGTGTTGCTCTTTGAGCTCCTGCGGATGGTCAGGCAAATGAAAATGCAACAGATGGAATATTTTTTGAGTCACTTTTGACTTTTTGCCAATATTTGGATTTGTCCCCATATTTTAGTTACAAGAGTTTATCTTGATACTTTACCGATCATGGCCTTGTGTACTTTTTCCAATAAGTTATATTTTGGTAAAGAAAGAAAATTAAGATTAGTAAATGTTTAGTGCTGACTTCATTACCAACATGAGAAATATGGATGTTCATGTGAACATTCTTTCCTGGAAATTGTATTATATTGGGTCTGTTAGATGACACTCACAACCGTTTCTACATGGCAGCAAATTAAGCAAGCCATCAAAGACAGGCACGCAACTATTCAACTTAAAAAAAAGAGGAAAATATTCTTGCATACAAAACTGCGTGCGCACAGCGCGAAGCCAATTCGGCATGGGGTCCGGACCCGCCTTAGGGTCCCGGAAATATTTGAATTTTACATGCTCTGTGGTGCATTCTATGCAGTTTTTTGTCCCCAGTTGAAGTGAAATTTGAGTGAAAGATATAAAACTTTTTATGGCATATTTTAAATTAAAAATACACAAAATGCTTCTTATTTGTGGTTCTTTTATTATGAGAGGAACATTCTGTGAAATAAACCTGTGACATAAAATTGATATTCCCACCTGTCTAATGCATATTTCTTTTGGATGTTTTCACCATCTGATCGGTCAGCGTTACGAGTCCACGTCTGCCGTAATTCATTTCCTTTTTGCATACCAAGCAATATGCCATGCCTGGCTGATCCAGTTTTTGGACAGCTTCAGCTAGAGGAACACCATCAACTGCTTTTTCCAACCAGTTCCACTTCCACGCATTTTTTATGACTTTATCCTGTCTTTATGCCTTTTGATATCCTGTCCATCACGTTCGATGATATCCTTCCTTTTGGAAGTCATTTTGAGTTTTGACGCGTGCATGATCAACGATCACGATGCACGTTGGCAACAGCGTTTTTTCAACGTTTGTGGCCGGCCGCCTAAGCGGTATAGTATCCATATCCGTCGGGAAAAAATGCGGCACCGGACTATTGGCTTGTTGTCGACAAAGGGCACTTGCACATACGGTGCTGAGTCTGTGTCCTGCACTTTTTAGTGCATTTTATGTGTGCACAAAACAAGGGATCAAACGAGGTTTTTGTGCTCATTAATTAATGTGTAGAGAAAAGTGGAACTCCGTGCGCGCAACGCTGGCACGGCCAGCGCCGCAGTGCCAACAGAAACAAGCCAAAATTGCGGATATTATTTTTGTGCGGATGGATTTTTTAAAAAGGCGGAAATCCGCGGATCCGCGGAAAAGTTGCATACCTGCAAAGACAAGCAACGCTGCCCAACAGTTCCACAAAATCTTGGGAACATTTCAGATATGTTTCTGATGCTTCAGTGACACTCAAAATTGACTGTCATATAAAAAAGCATATATAGCAAAACAAAAACAGAAACTTGACATTGAGAGCATAATTGAGTCAAATTCTTTCAAACTCTGGGGTGGACTGTGTGCTTTGTAAACAAACACTAGGGAAAAATAGCAACATCAGACAAGGACTGTATTATAATCCTTAAACGACTTGGTCAACAATGTGTGGCTGCATCACTATGGCTACAAAACTGTGCACCCATGGAAGCAACTGGCTGGTGGCTTGACACAGATACCCACCTGGTGGTCTGCAGTGACTTCGGCTACTGTCTGCTCTTGTTCCTTGAACTGCTCTTCCATTGTCACCGCCTGGCACTCCAGATGTTTGATACGGGACAGCATCTCAACCTGTGCTTTGAGGAGATCATCTTTTTCCTGAAAACGGGAGCAGAAAAAAATGGTTGAAGTGAGGAAAGAAATGATTTCCCTCCCTTGTTACATTCTTCAAATTAGACAATTCTCTTTGTACCAAATTCTCCCGAATTGTAAGATCTCAAGAACGAACAATGAACAATCATATGATTCCCTAATGTTGAAAACAATATGAAAAGCCATTCTCCATTGTTATTCTGTGGTTTTCTTAACAGAACTTGACTTCATTCTCATTTTACACAAGCTACTCAGTTTGTCTTTGTCTGTTCAGTTCCAAAATGTTACACACTAAATGTCTGTTGTACAGGCATCACTTCAGATCATATCATTTCCCATGCTAGTTCTTGTTAGCACTGTACCGCTACAATTCTGCTGTTGTAAACAAATTTGATCACAGGCTTCCATCTTTACGAGTCCATTTTTTAATCTGTCATCCACTCCATAATGGATTTTCCATGAAATGGCTGGAATACCCAATGAGGCGTAGGGAACTGACTGGATAAGTCTCTCGAATTCCTGCAACCTGGCATGACCGTTGAGGAAGGGACAGACACACTACACTCCACTAACCTGGATGATCTTCTTCAGCTGCTCTTCATAGACAGAGCTCTTGGTCTGTATCATCATGAGCCCCATAGACTCTTCCTCAACTTCCACAAAGTCGTCCACGGAGCGCTCCAGGAACTGGAAGGGGGTGCTGGCCCCCCGCATCTTACCAGCTGAATCGATGTAGCAGAACTGGTAGAACTCACCATCCTCCTCCTTGGGGAGGTAGTAAGCTGTCAAAGGAACCACCCAAAAAGGGAGCATTGTTTTTGAAAATTGGGATTCCTTGAATTACAAAAGTGAAATTCCCTAGTAAAACTGTCCTTTGCGGTCAACTAAAATTTGTGTGATTCCACAACTTTGATTTTGGTTTTCACAAACCTTAATTTCAAAATACAGGTGAAGTCTTTGTTTTCTTAATTTCCTGTCTGCAAGGTGTGGGTAATTTTATTTAAATGTAAGATACCGGTAACTTTTCATTTTCATAACTCTAAACATTCCAAACCAATACTTCAGCTAAACTCAAGTATAAACCAATATCAATATACAGCTATTTATAATTTAAAATCTAAAATTCAAAGAAAATGTAAAACTGAAAATAAAATTCAATGAAAAATCCACTTGAATCTGTGCCTATTAAAACTACTGTGCCACTAATATACTGTAAAATACAGTAGGCAGGCTCATTGTTCTCCCGATGTGATATATTGGTTGTTATACTGTCTGTCATTTGTGCTGAAATCTTTGGGAGTGGAACGTAAACATCCTTAACAAGCAAATGAAGCAAACTAAGCAGAGGAACTGACAAAGTCTGTACGTTTTTCCAAACAACGATCTGATTCAGTCTACAGCAGGTATTGAACACATGACAAAAAATCCTGGTGTGTTGAGTGACCCAAGGTCAGTCTCTGGAAACCACTTAAGATAGTAACCACTATATTACAAGCCCACTGGTATTAATTCAAACAGTCCTTCATAGTAAGTGACCTACTAATGCAAAATTCCTGCACAACTTCTCCTCAATAAATAAACTGCTACTTACGGGTAAATGTCCCGGACGAGATTTGAGATGACTCCTAAACGTCAGGAAAACCTACCGCTCCGGTGCAAAAAGGGACCAACAACGGCATTTGGATACCTCTCAAGCTACATTGCTGGCAAATGGTGCTCAGCTCTCAGACTCTCTCACAAAGAACGTGCAGAAACTTGTGGGCCCTAACAAGTCCTGCAATGCTTAGTNCAGTTGTATAACACCACACAATCTGGGCTCTTTTTACAAGGCTGCAGGCCCGGCTGAAATACTCGAGCATCAATGAAGGTCACCTGTCAACTTAGAGTAGTGCCTAAAGATTACTTCGTGTGGCTATAAACGACCGTTAAATGGAATGATGAATTTTTGAAGGATTTTGAAAACGGAAAAAATGATAGTCATGCTGGCCCAGCTTCATCAATGTTGAAAAATGCCTCGGCACGAAGTGGTTAACACAGCAAACACCATGTGAGACACTCTCATCCAATAGAAATACAGCATTGATCAGTGAGTTATTGCACACACATATCTAAGGGAAAGTCATTATCCAGCATGTCGTCCTTTTTTTACAAATTTTTCACAACATCCTTTCCAGGAAGTACAATGTACCGGTACATGAGAAACTATGCAAGCAAATGAAAATATTGGGTTCTGTCTCTAAACTGGAACATTAATCCTACTTTGTTCATTCTCCTGCTGATTAATCCCAATGGTTACACTTTGTGAATGTTCCAAGGACAAAGTATTCCTACTCACAACTGAACATGACTGACTGCTCATATTCATGCCCCTCTTGCCAGTTGTTGGGATGAGGGGCCCAGTCGAAGGCCTTGTACTGCCGGGTGGAACTCCAGCCCACCTTGAAGATGCCCACCCAGTCCCGAGATGTGGGCCGGATGGCCGGTGTCAAGGTGTACTTGCATTCAATGTGTGAACCTAAAAAGATAGTCACCAGTTTCTTGAGTGGAGTCAAATCTGTGGTGCCCAACAACTTGTCCCACTGATCCAACACTTTTGCGTTTCCCCTCACCGATCACCATCCTACTTACTGGTACTGTACATGTACATGAAGGACTCATATTACAAAAAGCCTGAATTAACCCCGTCATCTGATTGGTGGGTCACTGATCACATTACTGAATTATTCATCATAACATTCGGTGCAAATCCACTGCAGAAATAAAATGGCTTTCATTCATGGTATGTGGTTAATAGCATACATTTTCTTATTAACAATCAGAAAAAACTGGAACACTTTCAGTGAAGCATGCATTCATTGTGATGGGGATTCAATAATCTGTATAAAATAAATGAGTGTTCCACAAACTTGATTGAAAGTTGATTTCAATTCATTGGATATAATTAAATTAGTCCATTCATTTAAAGGAGAGAACAACACAATTTGGTAACAGGTGCAATGATATTGTAGGACATTCTGCCTGTCACCTCACATTATTCTTACTGCTGCACTCATAAGAATTGATTATGCAGATGATGGTCAGGAGTCTGTGTGCATGCGACATGTTATAGACACATCACGTGTGCGGCAATTTCATTGAAGGGGATTCTATTGGAAAACTTCCAAAAGGAATATACCATAAAATGGATGGGGGTGTTGGGGAAAATGAAAGTAAAAATTTGGAACAAAATCTCCGGAAATCCATCACATGTTGACTTCTTTTGACTCTGAATAAACAGGTATTCATGAATGGGAATAAATATGTGTTTGGCTGGTCTTAAACGTTAGTTTAGCTTGCTCATCAGGAGAATGAATGCTGATAACGTCCTCGCTGGCGGCTCGGGCACTAGTCATGTTAGTAGTGTCCTGAGCCGGTCTTAAACGGACGTTTAAGAGCGGCCAAGCACATATTTGTTCCCTTAAAAATATGTGAGCAAGCACTGTCTTGAGGTTTTTGTTGGTAAAGTGTCTTTACAATTCATGGCTTCACTTGTTCTTTTCAACAACCACCTTTGTGTTTGTCAAACTGCACTTTAATATGAGCATATTTGAGATTTTTGATTTTAGAAGCTTTTCGCCATTCTCCTTCACCATCTGATAGAAAGTCTTTATATTAACTGAAAACTGTAACTGAATAGTCGATGCATCAGATGATTGATCAAGTACCCAAATATCAGGATACACGTTGGCCCAATCATCACATGTGCCTCCATACACTTACAGTAGCGTTTACACGTGTACATCCAAACAAATAGATCTGAATGACACATTAAGTTTCCATTGTCGTTTGCTTTTTCCTCCCTTTACTTACCAGGGGCATATCTCTCCTGTACATTGTGGAACACCACTTGTGCATAGCCGGATGCTGTCATCATTGAATCGTCCAGGATGAAATCAAGGTGTGTGGTTGGGCTTTCTTCGCCATTTCTTGACAGAATTGCCTCAGTCATCATTTATGAGCTACGTACTTCAACTGCACTCTTCTGGAAACATTCAAGAGTTGTTTCGTGTTAAAATACAACATGTTTTCTGTCTATCATGCATGTCTTCAATTTTTTAAAGCCGGACCAAGGTTTTCTAAATGACGAACTTATTCCATCATGGTGAAAAAGCACTTATTTGGAAAACATCTGTATTTTTTGAAGAGTCCATCTGTGCAGCTGGTCGATTATTGTACGATGTGGCAATCTACTGTAAATACATGTACATACATGTATGTCTGTCATCTTGGGATCTCCTTTTCTTTCTGATACACAGCTGTGGGAGCTGGCTTTGGAGCTTTCTAGTCACTCTACCCACAACCACCTCCATGCCTAGCCCATTTGTCATTTCGCCCATTTGCCATTCTGCAGTCCCACCAAAATATGTGTAAGCTCGTGAATTTTTTACGAGCTCTTGAACATCATTGAGCACATTCTGAAAACCTCTGGTGATACATGTGTGTCACATGTACCGGGGGTAATAATCATCTACCCTTTGTCTGGAGCCCCAGAAGTTTTAGTATTAAGCTGACTGAGGGCAGCCACACTCAGATACATGTACATGTTTGAACAACAAATTGTCAGTTACAGTGGGTAAATTTCGACAGTATCTCGTTATGCATTCAACACAACATTCTCGTTTTTTTTTTTTTTAACTGATTGGTTGGGTGAATCTCTCCCAAATTAGTATTGCCACTTCAGATGTTTCCACAAAGAACAGCAGGTCTATTGTGGACTTTTAAAACCCAAGACAAGGAACACCTTTGGTCTTTCGGTGGAGATACAGGTAGGCTGGGTGCAATAAGCCAATAAGCATGATCATCCATCACTCTTCGCAATTGGTCAATCTTGTATGGTAATACATGTATGCAATCTTCAACTTTACTTCCCTTTTTACCCCTTTTCCTTTAACCATAACTAAGAGAGGAGGGGTAAAGGCTGATGAATAGTGCAATAATACATGTAGATGCTTGCAAAGATGAAGTAATCTCACAGATTGGCTGCCCACTATATTGCCAGGCGTGATCAATCAGTCTAACTCATTGTCAACCATTGTGAGATCTGTTGATCTTTCTGCATGATTTGCCCATAATTCTGCCAATAATCAATCACCTTTTCTAACCCGCAGTTGTGCAAGATTGTCTCAAAAATGGAAGCACTGTCAAAAAAATGCATGACTAACGCACGATTGTACTGACCAATCACACTCAAATCCAGATTACACTTCACTGAAAATAAAAGTAAGGTGAAAGGTGTCAGTATGCATTAGTTGTCCACTACACTTGTTTCCTAGTTCCAGATTCTTCCTTCCCGCTTGAAATGAAACCTTAGGCCTACGGTACCTCTTATGTGTTGTTCTTCAACTCCACATTCTCAAACAAGTTCTGTTCGAAAGATGCAATGTAAGGGTGTTGATAAAAGTAGGAGGTAGTCGGAGGTAGACAGAGCATGGTCGGAGGTAGCATTTAACATATTTAACATTCAGTAAGGTACTTACATGTTCATTGTAAATGTCTACTCACTCACCCTCCTGGTATGAATGATCACTTTATCATCGGGCTTTCCCCTTTTGCAGCCTAAAAGCATCCCACAATGAGTCAAAATTGACCCCCTTTGTGGCGACGGTATGTTGCATGTACATGTACGTGTGCACGACGTGCGTGTACTGCAATGCCACACAAACAATGCAAGCAAACCACCAACTTTGAAAGAACAGCTATGGAGGCTCAAGCAGAACTTGCATGTTAAAACATACATGTATCTCTGCACGACAACAGGGGAAAATGTACATGTAAATCCAGACATGCCAGATTGAATTCTTCAGTTAATGAAAGGTTGGTGTTACCACAGAAAGCAGTGTATGTTAGGCTCCAAAGCTTCAAAGAGGTCGAAACTTACTTAAAAAATTATCAAAAACATGTCTTTGGAGTATGATTAAACAAGAAATAATTATTTTATTTCTTCATTAACAATAACCATAAAACATCCTCATTCATATTGCATGTCAGGCTGGAGGTACATGTACATGTACAATCAAGTGCGCTTGCAACAGTTTTCACACAATTTTACTTGAAAAATTTTGAAAAAATGACAAAGAATTTCTTTGATTTCTTTAATTAATGCCAATGCATTAGATTCATGTCATTTTGTTTTTTTCCTTACCAATGCTTAATGCTTAAACAAGAAATTAGTGTTGTTTTATTTCATTCCACGGTACGCCACACCAAAGGTTACACTGAATCCACTGACAAATTCTGCCCATGTGCTGTTGGCAGCCGGAGCTCCATGAGGCAAATCACTGGTTTAATAGGTACATGTACATGTACATGAAGTGGTGTACCAAGTTTTTGCTGGGTGCTTATCTGCAATAGTTAATTTTGTAATTTTTCGGATAAATCAAATATATCTGTCCTGTTTATTACTACCTCCGGCCTGACATGCTGAGCCAATGAGAACATTTTACAGATGTTTTGGTCAATAAATATAGAGAAAAACAATGATTTCTTGTTGTGGCACTTATCAAAGATATTTACTAATTTAGGATATAACTTTTCATTAAAGTCTGAACTACTTTTACTCAACCTCCGATTGACCCCATACAAGTACAGGTATCGAGTGTTGGGTTTGTTTATTGCTACCCCCGGCCTGGTGTGTCTTGCAATCGAGGATAATTCACGATCCTTTTTGTTTTTATTTATAAAGAAACAAAATAACATGGATTTACTGTTTGTGCATTAATCAAAGAAATTTTTGTCACTTTTTCAAAATTTTTCAGGTACATGTAAGTTTTAATTACATTCAATATACCTCCAGGTCTAAGTAAATGGGCAAAAATCGTTTGAATAAGGTTGAAAGCGGAGTTGATTATACCGGTACCTCTGGCCTGACAAGCTATACAAAATGATCGTCATCAGGTCGGGGACTAAAAAGGGACTAGCAAAGTCCCTAGTTCCTGCTTATGTCACTTGTTCAAGCGACAAGGACGTCAGTTTTATTGCGAGATTTTTCGGAAAATAACGAGATTTGAAATGGGGCAGCCAACATGGCTGCCATTGCCATTGGAGTCTAAGGTAAAATTACTTCAGATCGCTATTTTGGAAAACCGCCATGGTGAATCGTAGATTTCTAATGGCAACATTTTCATGCATAAAATAAACTTCGGCAAAGCTTTATTTTTTTCGTGTAAACGTTTTCATCAGCAAAATTGGACTCACTTACCAACCAAATTCAACACATCCAATGCAAGATTCGACTGAAAAATCTTCCTGATCTGCTTTTAGGAATATCAAATGAAAAGTTTCGTTTTGATCTGGGGTAGCAGGTTTCCTATGAATTTTGATCAACCACAGCAATTTGTATTGAGGTTTTTGGCCGATAAAGAGATCGATGTCATCTGCAACTGTGATCTAAAAATAATTTAAAAATTACATCACTGTTGCACAATCAAGTGGTGTATACATAGTCTGGCGCTGTCGCTAGATTGTGGTTTGGTCCCCGACCTGGTTATTGTTAACCCTAACCCCCTAGGGACCATTGAAATCATGCCTAAACTTCTTGGGTTCAGAATGGTTAGGGTTAATGAAGAAATAAAATAACAGCAATTTCTTGTGTAAGCATGTATACATCAAAGACATTTTGCCATTTTTGGACAATTTTTCAAGTAATTTCCACTATTTTCATTAAACCTCCAGGGCCTCACACTCGAAATTAAATCAAGAACCTGTAGCCTACTGTTTATTTCACCACCAGGCGGCCGCTTTCTTTACCAGGCCACCAAATGGATGTACCGGTACACTGTACAGCTTTGAGGCAGAACATACATGTACACTCTCTCTTTGAGTACACCAAGCTTTCATTAACTTGAGAATTCAACTTGGATATACGTTTCCTCTGCTGTTGCGCAGAGATTCATGTTTGAACAACCTGTGTTGTACGTGTAGCATCGGTGTATATACAGGCGTGGCATACACTGTACATGTATGTATACATACATGTACATAAATGTAGTGTGGATGGAATCAGGTCAACTCGTACCCAGGACAACTCGTATCTACATGTAGGTCAACTCATACACCCAAACTCCTGCCCAAGTCAACTCATACTCAGGTCATCTCGTACCCAGGACAACTCGTATACCAGTACGTTAGAATAGTGCTGCAGCCCAACCGAACCAAAAATTGTCAAACACAGCACTTTTGAACCGAACCAAACCAACATGGTCCAATCGAATGTTCGGTTTTGATATGCACGGAATGCATGCAAGAAAACGTGATGAAAAAGCAATCACAACAAAACATGGATAACGAAATGTGCCGCACCGGTGCCGCTCCAGTGCATGTGCTATAAATTAACTGTACAGTACAGCACATACATGTACATCTACATTCAACTTACCATGCATCACGGGATGGTTGTAAAAAGCAAGTGGTGAGATTTCACAAATAATCAACCAAGAACAAGCAACAAACAGCATTTCTGCTGCATAACAATTCTAAATTCTCACTTCATCCAACTGTGCTTATGTATATTCAAATTTAGTATTATGTTTGCCAATCCGGTAGCCATGCCCTTACATTCTATATTAGGCCAATGATGTCATAAATGGCCGTGCAAAAATTTTAATTGGATACTGATCAAAGTTGTAGGACTCGTGCTCGATCAGAGGCAACTCCAGAAGGAAAACTGATTTTGCCAGGCGGGCTACGCCTGAGTGCTGCACTGGTGCGACAAGAATTGGTTTGCGCTGTGGCCCAACTTACAAGGATTTTTTAAGTGAAGAAGAGGACATAATTAATGAATTAAAATTAATTATAAAGTTGATCCTTTGCAAGTACAGCAGCCATTGGTAGGATTATCCACTGATGACAATAATACATGCAAGGGCACGAATCAACTCGGGTACGAATTGACTCGGGTACAAATTGACTGGGGAACAAGTTGACTGGGGTACGACTTGACTGGGGTACAAGTTGACTGGGGTACCAGTTGACCTGGTATGAGATGACCCAGATTCATGTGGACCTCTGCACAAAAGAAGTCCACATAATGTAAGGTATGATGGCATTGTGCGGACTTGCACACATCCACACAATGTTTTCCCCTCTTTGAATAACAGTTTCAGAGGTATTTTAGGGTCAAGGTTATTCGTGGCAAAAATGAAGAGCAACAGTCCAGGAAATCATCATCAAAAATCCAGCTCGAAGGAGTTATCCAAATTGGAGAAAAAGGAGCATTTTCCTCAAGTTTCCTTCACCACAGGATAACAAAGGAATGTCCACACTTTGTGTGTTAAACAGGTACCTGTGTATGTGTGAACATTAGCCCTACACGTAGGGCTGTAGTGGCTCTCTTTTACAATCTATCTCTTATCTGTCGCCACCACAGCCCTACTTCAAGGCATGACTTTAATGCCTGAAATCCAAACTGATTGTCACAAACTTTGAATCCTGATATCTTCCGAAATGCAAAAAACTCAACAATTTTACTTACACCGGCATATTCCTCTGAGTTTGGACTTTTATCTGAGCACCCTAAAGCTTTACAAAACCATGTATTTTCCAATGTATGGTGCCTTGAAAACCTGGCCTGCCTGTGTACCATACAAATCTGGTTCTGCGTCACCTTACGTGACAGACGAACAGGGAACTGGTAAAATTAAATTTGAAAAACATTAATTAATATTAATTAATATCGTCTTCTGCCTTCTGAATACCGAAATTCAAAATGGCAATGGCAGTGGCTTTTACCACACTTTCAAAATATTTTTGCCATTTGGGTCTGCGGCTAGGCTAAGTCTAGTCACATACATGTACGTGACCAAGTAAGCAGTCATGGCACTTGGCATGGGTAGTTGCTCATTAACCGGGGGGAGGGCCCTGGTATAGCTGAACGCGGAAGCAGAATCGAAATATCTTCAAGACATATCGATATCAAACGAATATACTCACTAGATCAAAGCTGTTGTACAAACCTCACATGGATTGGCACACAAGATGTAGATTATCGACATATTTCAGATATTTTTGGGGGTTATCGAGTACACTCACTCTCAGCAGTTTGGATCCGTTTCGCAAATAATGATGCATAATGACATAAAAAGATATGACGACAACAATCCTCGTTCCATAATTATACAGTCATTATTATTTCAATTTCCGTATTATTTGAAAAATGGTAATTATAAAAATTGTTCGGATGGACTAGTATTTGTTCATAAGTTAAAACTCTAATGCAGATAACAATTTACAAATTAAAAATAGGGCTAAGATTGGTGTTACTACGGAAGCTTCAAGTGACCACTAGGCTATCTGAATTTACGCGAGTACGACTGAGCTGAATGCGCTGATCATGCCTACTATAGAATACCGAAGTGAATACGTCACGCGCACAATAAGTGTGTAAAATGCATCAGCCCGAGAACCAGCGTGTGAACCAACACGCACGAGTACTCCATTCGTTTGCACTGCACTTTCTGGTTTACAGTGACGTCACACTTCTGTGGTTACTCACTTTGGAGGAGACACTCATTGAAATCGGTCACGGTTAAAACACTGACCAAGATGGAGTTTCGCTGGATTTTCCTTCTCTAATATCTGAGGGGGGGGGGCACAGGCTTCGAGTGGGGGCGCGTGTCCAAAGACACACTGTTAAAAATTTCTGTGAAATAACAGTGGATTCATTTATTTCTCAATTTGTCTCTGTTACTAACTATGAGCGTTTTCGAAACGAGTAGATTCGAATTAGACTTTGATTTCGCTGGTTGTATCCATTTTGAAACAGCGTTTGAAACAAGATGTTAAAACAACAGACATATAAACTTTGAACGCATCAGATCCTATTCAAAACTACAGGAGTATTTCATGATCTGCGCGGCGCCCAACTAAAATCAAAACTATGGGCAAAATCACCCCTCGGTAATAGGGAATTTACGCACAGTTGAAGAATTCCAGCCCCAATTCCATGAAGCCGTTTTTGATTGTGAAAAATCCTCTATGTACTTAATCTGGCCCATGTAGATTCAAAACGATGCGGTTGCAACATTTTAATATAAGAAATAGCGGTGCCGAAGAGCAAAACATGTGAACGTATTTTTGTGGGGGCTCATGTAAACAAAATACAGGCACTGTAAATGTGTTGCGCATAATGCGCACTGAACGCGATGCCATCCATCGCTAGCACTGCGCCCATTGTTCGCCCATACTTTTCAAAATAACGGTTATACGCGCAAGACTGGCTGTTATGTGGTTCAAGCTCTGACTGGAACTAGCGAAATTAAAGCCGAATCCACTCTAAGTCTAAGCCGAAAACACCCTATAGTTTCTTGACACAAGACATATACAATCTGTGCCCTAAATTTATCTTTTTGCCGAGATTTCGGTAACTGGATACTTTTGTTAGGGCAAGCAGATTCAGTTCTGAATGAACGCAGAAAAATCCATGAATATTCCACCTGGATGCAGCATTCCAAGTTGGAAGATGACGCGCTGCTCCAGTTGCTTTCGCTGTACTCTGGGGCCGTTTTCCAATACTCAACTTCGTCTCTGTCGCAGGCTTCGTCTACGAAACCTATCCCTGATTGTGGGCCTGAAGCGTTTAAATTAAATGGAAGTACTGCAGTTTTGGGTTCTTGTGCATCTTAAGTGATGTTTTGTGGCACTATCAGACTTACGATTGTGCTTACAACTTCAAAGTCAGGTAGTAACAAAACAGTTGAGACGGTGCCGAATCGAGTATTGGAAAACGGCCCGGATTAGGCCTACGCTTTCCGCAGGATGCAGAAGCTTACTTAATTTTAAGTCACAGAGAGTATGCAGCGGCGTGCAAAAGTGCTGCGCGACAGTGAGACCGGTGCGGGTGTTTCTGGTGCACAAGAACTGAATCTGCTTGCCCTGACAAAGGTACCCAGATAAAATTAGAGTACTGATTGTATTATCTTTGTCAATATTCTGATTACGGTACGGCGCAGCCCTTACATTTTATTGCTTTACCCAGGGTATGCCTAAACAGTTACGAACTGGTTTCCATTGGGGCCCTGCGATCATTACAAAATTGTTAGAAACTCACGACGAAAAGTAAAATTAACAAATACGACAAACATTAATATTCACAAATACAGACCACTAAAATACCACATACATGTGAACATTAAAATAATCAAGACATTAATTAAATACTGATCACGGGATGGGCGAAAACCCCGCAAAAAACCCTATGGGAAAAAAAGAACACGGGAAATTCCCGATCTGGCTCCAATGAACATTGGCAACCAAGTTAACAACTCCACAGATCAGCCTTTGGGACTACATGGCACTGGTCATGGCTTTCCATAGTTCTGATTTGAATGTCCCTAAGGAGTCTATACTTCTGAGTCGCTCTGGCAAATTTTTCCACATTTTTGCACCTTTCACTGCAAAACTTTGAGCGTAGCATTCTTTTTTGGCTAAAAGGACTTTAGGTGCCTTGACTGAGTATATTGTATCTTGTTAGACGCATCTGTGTAAATGGCATAAACAGATTTGTCATATACACAGGAGCCAATTTGCTTAGACAAGAACAGTCTATTTAGATCTGACTCTCTCGGAAAATGGTACCCAGTTCAGTGTAGCAAACATATTTGCTGTGGGGGTGAGAGAGGTGCATTTGAGGATAATCCGTGCAGCTCTTTTTAGACATTTGTTAAGAATGGTATCGTGGGATATGTATCTTCCTTCCCATACCGTGCAATAGTATTCTAAAGTTAGCATAAGCAATGAAAAGTGTGTGCTGGCTACTTTGTCCGACATAGTTCCGGATTCTGTTTAACATACCTAATTTAGATGAGACTAAATTTTCTTTCTTATGAGATTCTTACGTAATCAACACGTGGGCCCTTTCATATCATTCGTCTATAGTTTCTGCGTCACAAACGCCGAACATTCTATTACATAAAGCGCATGCGCAGATGTAATGGCGTGCCAGGATTCTCACTGTGGGGAGGGGGTGAGTAGGGGGAGCTGGATCATAGAGTAGGGGAGGGAGGGGCCGCAAGTCACAGTATTTTAAAGTAATACTATAATTTTCTGTGTTTACCAAATTTCCAGTTGGGGGGGGGGCGACTAGGAGGCGACGATTTTTATAGGGGGATTTAGTATGCAATTTTTATGCACCTCTATAAGTTTTCTCCAGCTTCGTCGCTTGTGCCGCGTAGATGGAACATTGAAGACAATGGGCCAAAGCGCAGAGCAGCAGAAAAATTAAACAAACTTCTTAGCAACCGCCCCATATTCCACTAAAATCGCTTGCGAATCAGACGTGTGAACAGCAGAATGGCTAATAAGATGATTTTAAAGAAAACTTCGAATTTTCAAAACGACGACGCTGAACTGGTAAGCTGTTTTGAAAGTGTATTTCTATTCTTTCACTCTGTATATTTCTAATTACACAACATTTTTATTTCATTCAAAAGTAACGAAGAAAGTGGGAAGAAAACATCTTAAAACTGATCAAGACTATCTTGTTTAGGCCTATACGTATAACTATTTCCCCAATTTTCACGGACTGCTAACTTATGATGCTTTTTTTCTAATTAATGTCTACCAGATACATCGGCAGTCACTAACCAGGGATTACCAAGTAATCCAAATCAAGGATGAGAATCGGAGAATAAAGATGATTCTCCGTGCAACTGACAACTCATTCACCACGGTAAGATGTGGATCAACGCTTTTATTTTCTCACTAAATTTATACTTTTCAAAACGAGCAGATGTCTTTACTCGAGTCATAACCACCATGTATGTTTCCGTCTTTTTTTCTAGCTGGGGTCTCTGGAGACTGCTCTGGCAAGGCCAGTAACGGCCTTTGGCCGTAGTTCGTTCCCCAGGAAGAGTAAATCCACCAGCCAACATGCCTGCTATCGTCATAGCGTGGCTAAGGTAATAACAAGTAAAACATGCATTTTAAAATAAGATTTCATCCAAAAAGGTGTCAACTCATAATTTCGAGCATTAAATTGGTTTTGTTGAACGTTTTCGCAGGCTGTTGCCAAAAGTGTTCTACAACCAGCAGTCAGAAAGAGACTGCTGTCACAGGATGAGGGGCATTGTAAGCCGAAGAGGCCTTGCGTCGCTGAGTCCCGGGACTGTGATAATGACAAAAAGAGCCCCAGCATTGACGGTGATGAATTCGTCCGAGTGGGACTCACCGCGAAAGATATTGAGATACTGGACGATGGGGAGTGGCTGACGGACGAACATATCTCCGCGGCACAGAGACTGCTCCGCCGTCAGTTCCCTGCCTTCGGTGGGCTGCAGGAGCCTGTCCTTGGGGAAATACTCCAGTTTGAGCCCATGACCACGGACGGAGCCCAGATCATGCTTAATGGAGGAGGGCACTGGGTGACCATCTGCAGGCGAAACAATGAAGTCAAACTGTTGGATAGCAAGAATGAAGGACTTAATTCGAGGCTTTCCAGCCAGATCTTAAATCTGTGCGGGGACAAGGCTGGACGATCATCTGGTCTCCAAGTTCAGCTTCCGGTGATGCACCCGCAGCGAGGTTCTAGCGATTGCGGACTCTTCGCTGTTGCCTATGCTACCGAGGTGGCTTTCGGGGGAAGACCCGAATTGACTGTCTTTGATCAGAAAGCAATGAGGAAGCATCTTAAGTATTGTCTGGAATCACAGAAGATGAAACCCTTCCCAAGGAAGAATTGCGCCCAAAGGACTTCTAGAAATGTTGGGAGCAAAGCTCAGGCACTCAGGAACTGATGGAGTAATTTTATTGAATATCTACCAATAATCTCCACCCTGCTCAGAATAGCAGAATCAGGAATAAAATGTATAAATTTAAGCAAAAATGGTTTGCCAGATTATGTTTACATTTTAAAGCACATTTTATATTTAAAGAAAATAATGAATTTGTAGTAGGTCTAAATATTTTATAAGTTAACTATTTCCATATTTCATGAAGCTGGTTTGAAAATTAAAACAAAATGGCCATTTCTCAACAAAAATCCGTGGCCGTAAATAACAATGAAATGATTTTGGATTTGTAACAAAGCATGCACTCTAGTGTGAGCATTCCCATTCTTGAGTGGATAAAAAAAAAAACTAGCTTATTATTTCATAGAATAAAAAATGGGAAATTGTAAAATATTTGTTGTGGGCATGTAAACTGATGCAACGCATTCCATAATATTCTAATGGTTAAACCGAGGAATTCAGTTCATTTTATCAGCTAATTTGGTCGAAAATTCCAGAGCATTCCCTTCACAATAAACTATTTAAAAAGTGCCACATGACGTCAACTCATAAATATTTTGAAAGGACATCTAAAAATATGGTGCCGCTTTTATGATAAAGAATTTGTCGTTCACTTAATGCACCGTATTCGAACGGAAATGCTATTAATGAAATAGAAGATTTATTTATAAATTGTGAAATAAATTATGAACATTTAATGACAGAAGACAGTTGCACTGTGTCGGCTGTACGTGTGTATTCTTCATTTTCAATAGTTTTGGTAGGGCACGTTGTTAACATCAGAAACTTGCGATTGGTATGTTAAATTACTTTTTAGCGTTCTGACAAAACTTCAGAGGGCTTCTCCTAAAATCATGGTGTTTGCATTGTCGTGGTGTTTGCATTGTCTTCGTCTCTGCATAGAGTGAGAAACTGATTTGAACTGCAATACAACGTCGAGTCCACATGCACTAAACGGTTCTTATCAGGACCTTATTCCAAAAGAGATCTATCCACATGGTGTTACCGCAAGCCCTCGCTCTGCAGTACATTAATTCTGATAATTATATTAACTTTAAACGCTTAAATGAAAACGTTCTGATGTTAAAATGTAATTAACTACACTCGAACCCATACTTGGATATTGTGTTTTAGCCCCAAGGGCAGAATTGCAACAACATTGTTTTCTGCATGGGAAGTGATCACTGTTCACGGATACGAAGTGGGTGGGATGAATGCCATCGGAGACACTTAACATATAAGTGCGCCCTCGTTCGAAATTTGTACCCGTTTTGTACACCATCTCCGATTTCGGAGAAGACAATTTACTGACAGGAGTTTTCCCCACAAAGTGCTCCCTCCAACCCAAACTTTTATAGTTGCGTCATTGATAACTAACACAAAAAATGAACGAATTCTTATGAGGAAAGCATTTAACTGGAAACTGCTTAACCTGCACAAACGTGGGGAAGTATAGGCCAAAATGACATCAAACGCAATCAAATTTTGCAGAGGCATTTTGGGGGTGTACTCAACGTTTGTTTTTGCGGGTTTTTTGTATTTGTGACTTGGCTACATTTTTTTTGCTTTGTTTTAGGGGGGGTGTGTATCACAATATCACATATCAACAAAAAAACCCGTAAAAATTGAAGTTATGCACGGCAACTATCAGTTAAGAGAATCATAAATTTAGTGAAACCACACAATATTATTTGTCACTTTTCTGTAAACCGCCAGTCTGGTTAAAACTCAAGGCTCACTAAGAAGAAATAGAATAGAAGAAATAATTCAACAGTGTCTGCGTAAATCAGTCTTCTTTGTATTTGGACAAACACAAAGTGTCCGTTGCCTGTGGCTAAGGCTATCATTGGCATCAATTTTCCTGATCAGGTCTTAAACGGACGTATAAGTATTGCCCTATTTGTTCCTGTAGTGACGCATACAAAATCTCCAAAGCAGAGGCGTATCCTGCTTTTGATGTGGGGAGGGGGGCAAATTCAAAAGCAAATGCCGTTCGGGCTCATTTAACATGATGTTGGAACAGGGAAAAAGTAATTGATGTTATTTCATGGTCTCGTTTTCCTTGGGTTTTGGTGCTAATATTTGATAAATATTTACAAATAGGTCATTCGGGAGACATTTTGTGGTAAGTTTTTCAGCATTAGGGAGACATTGGTTTTTAGGGAGACATTTCAGTGTCTCCCTACTTTCAAACTACCAGAAGAGGCCGAATTTTACGGTCCATATTTTGAGAGATGATAGTTTAGGGCCTAAAATGAAAACATACAAAGTTTGGTTCAGATCAGATTGGGGAATATTGAATTATGGGACAGTAAAGTTGGAAAAAATTTGTGCACGTTCTTATGGGAATGTCTCTCTAATGACCCATTAGCGGTAATTATTATAAATATACTGATTACTTTCTTACCTGAAGTATTCTTTCAAAAAAAAAAATCCGTGGGCGGGCATTGCCCTTGCCCCCCCCACGCTGAACACGCCACTGCCTCAAAGCCTCCCCGACAAGCAGCAAAGCATTCGCATTAATTGACTTACTGTGAAGATTATCAAAGAGCCGAACTTTCTTTTGGAAATGCACGAAATGCTGTTTTTATGCTACACTGCAGGTGAAAGAGAGCAGAAACGCTTCCCTTCTAATTTTATAAACATATAGAAAGATTCATATTTTGTTCAATTCATGGAACTCATCATCACCAGATCAGTGTATTTGACCGGATAATAAGTTCTGCGCAACGGACAGACCAATGCGTATAGCGCGTATTATCTGCAAGCGCTAACGCGCTGGTTACGCGCATTAATTCAGTGCCGTGCAAACGGAATCCCTTTCAAGCAAACCAATTTCAAATGTTAGCACGCCTGAATTCGTTCACCTTGCCAGCTCGTTGCGCATTTATGTTAGGAAGCTACACAAGAGCCAAATAAGCCGCAAAGTATACAGATCTTGTTGCCACGAGAATTTGAATCCAGCTATTAAGTGAAGGAAGACGTTGAAGAATGGAGATTCGATTGATCTGGGTGATCGCATTTTTAGTTATCTTGCTGGAGCAAAGTTCCTTCAACGGTAAGTAACGTGCAATAAAACTCAAAAGTTGGGCATTACCCCCTACGTTATTATAAGAAAGACTTGTATCCAACCCCGGCTAAGCCTGGCGGTGTAACAAAATGCCAATAATATATCTTCAGCATTATATGTACACACTTCGTTACCAGTATATTTTTTCATTAATTCTTTTACTAATAGCAAAAGGCTACGGTAAACTGAAAAAGAAGGGCCTAGTGTCATCACAAAAGACAAACGCAAAAGGGCCAATAACAGACATATCAAGTACTATTAATGTTTTACCAAATAGCCATAACGGTGTACATGTCCCACTTAAAAACAGCCGTAGAGGACGCAAATGGATCACAGTAGCACCCTTTGAAAGACCGTTTTCATTGCATTACGACTGACGAAGTGCGATAAGGCAGTCCACTCAGACTAACAGATGAATCTTCAACCCATTGTGAATGAATCTGTGTTATGCATTCGTCTTAAGTTACTGAACACTCACCCTGTTAAGAGAAATCGATATTTGTATAACGTCACACCTTTTCTTGGTATTTTTTCCTTTTTAATCATTCAATTATTTTTTCTTTTTTAGAATCTGTACAGACTAAAAGCAATGTGCTCATGCGAGATTTCAGCTTTCACAGAAACAAATCTGGAATCGTCGCAAGAAACGTCGACAGAAATGTGAAAATTCCTCACGCCGACCACAGCGATGCACTCTTTGAAACGGCTTCTAGTCCCCCAAGGAAGGGGACAAGAATACCGACTAGACACAAACGCCTCGGAGATAACCTGCTGCAGCATGCTGACATGGTTGACGGTAAACCGTTCAGATATGGCGTGGTGAAGCGCCAAGGAGAACCAGCACAGCTGGCGGAGAACGCTGACATGATTGCAGACGAGCTGCTCAAACATGGCCACGAGGTCGGTCCTGTATCAGTAGTTGATAATGACGTTGTAAAATAAAACGGTCAAGGATGAGGTGACAGTTCACCGCTCATCTTACATCGGGTGGTGTTTCACTAGGGAAGCCATCTGCTTCACTTGACAACATTCCTCAACACCTCGACAAACGTCTACAGGTTATTACATTCGCAGTGGAAAGACCAACAACTTTTTCCAAATCTTATGTGACAGTGGACCATGGTTAAGCATACATCTTACTTGAGGGAAATATTCAGCTCATTTTGAAACAAACAATATTTATTCCTGGTGAAAGAAACAATTTTCCTGTGCTTTCATCAAACAGTGCCTTGCTTTCCTCAAAATTCTTCATCAGTTATCAAATAAGTCTAAGGTGAGCGAAGGTACTTTGGCAAAGAAGCATTTTCTTGAATTCTGCTCACTAGTTTAGTTGTCCACAGATCTATGACTTCTCCCGTCATTACTATTTCTAATAAAGGTCTTCAAAATGATCTCTTATGCCCTCCCGCACATACCACGCAGACGGTCAGAGACTAAATCTGAAGTCGGCTTTCCAAATGCATTGTCGTCAGAAATTTGCTTGAAATTTTCACTGCGCCTAATTTACCTCCTATCCAGACAATGAGACAGCAGAAGATCGGCGAGCGAATGGAGACGGAAGCAGCACGGCGGACAACGTTTATCATCTGCTTCGCTATTATGGGATGCTGTTTCATATGCACAGTCCTTACTGTAAAAAAACTCTGCTCTTACGAGTAGAATACAGGACCAGCGAAAAACAATAACCGGAATATACAGTTCGTTTGAAATGTAACACGGGTTTTCAGGGAGAGCGGTAAACGCTTGCGCTCTCAAACATGGCAGTAGTTTGCCTTGAAACGGGCATCTTATTTGCAACTACACGTTACTTCGTGCCTTGCCAAATATATATCCAGGCGCAATTCCATGACATAAATAAAGTCATTGCCAACTTGACTTTCAACTTCTGGTCAATTAACCATTTCCCTTGTCGTGAATGATTCTACGGCTGTGTCATTGTTCAGCATGAAATTTACAAGAGCGCAGACAAGATTTGACCAACTGTATTTCATTATTTCTGAACCAGGTGAACATCTTTCCAGTCGCGGTTCGGTCTCACAAAATGACTTTAAGGCCATTTCTGTTTAGAGTACACTGATTTCTTTATTTTGATACGTGACAGATTTGGGCATCCGAATGAAAATTGGGAATGGGTGAAAAATGTCGAGGGTTCCGACCGATTCACACGGAGCAGTATGCCCTTCAAGATGCACTCCCTGTGGCACTGGCTTTTCAATCAAAAAGTTGACTTGTGACTCGTTAGGTTGGACCACCAAGTTTAGATTCGAAGTTCTTCCGCGACGAGTAATGAATTCCACAGACAACTGAATTTCATGCAATGCTTTTTTTGCATTTTATTTTACGAATGTCACAAATGAATGAAAGTAAATTACGAGATTAAGGAGGAACACTGTGAGGGACTTTTCCTAAAATTAGCTTTGTTATTCATCCTAGATAATAAAACATTCGACTTAAGGTAATACCTGACAAAAAGATAAGAAGTAAGATTGACCAGTGGAAGTGGCTTGGTTGGTTATACTTTTACGAGTAGAAACAATATCTACTACCTGCTTTTTTGCTCTTGAATATGATGGACTTCTGGTCCCAGTACTGCTCGTTTTTGTTCACTGTACACAACCTGTCATCTCAACATAAAAAAGGTACAAGATGTATATTACAAAACCCCATTTTATGAATCTTGTGAATCCGGTCAATGACTCACTGTACAGCACTGTCGAATGTTGAAGCTTTTTTAAAAAAGTGTTTAGTTCATTAAGATCTTAGTCTTACAAAGTTGTGAATGTGGATTGGCGTGACGTATGCAACAGGTACATTCTTTTCATATGGAAAGCTGTGGAAATTAAAAAAGAACTTACTCAGGAACAAGTAAAACCATAAAGAGATTTAACTCATTTAACCCAGTTCACCTCAGATCAACAGTACATCTCATCCCTTCCCCCAAAATGAAGTAAAAACAAAACATGAATTTAGTTTGAACTGGCCACAGCATTGACAAATTAAGAGTGCTTTTTGTTCATGTACACTTGATGTTTGTCCTGCATTATAAGCACAAAATGTTTGGAGCACTCAATAAACTCGACACATTGCAATTATACCAGTAGTAGTAAAACTAAGACAACTTAAACTACATAAAATATATATATGTATATTTACAAGTTTTCGTAACATAACATGAATAGAATTCACCATCAGAGTGCATTTTAGTTTAAACAATTTCATGTTAACTACAAATCAACCGAATGTTTATTTCAGAATAAACGTATGCAACAATTTCAGAGGTAGCACCTACTATACTGGCATGGCTTTGGCTATTCAATCCAGTCAGATTTTTGCTTTCAATCAAGCATGGAGTAATAAAAGCAGGGAAAAAGAGCACATTTATGCTGCCAGTTGCCATTTTGCTGGCCAAATCTGCTGTGCATATGCTCATACACAGTGTTCACTGTTTAAATGTAAGCAAAATTACACAGGGACTGGCTCTACAAGTGACCTGCTTTTTTAACACAATATTTCTTCTGCTTCATCATTTAATGTAAATGACGGTACAAAATTCTTTTTTGGTTATGTTGGTTCCATTCAATATTAATGAGCACGGTTGCTGAAGCGAGCACAATGGTTATTCCTTTACAGCTATGCCACATTTGAAAACTTGTGCTTCACTAAGTACATATTTCTTTGGTGTCTTTGCAGTTAGTCTTTACAGGAGACTGTCTTATCAATTTCAGAACATAATCAGTCCTTCGTAAGCAGGAGTTTCTCAAAATTGGCTACCGATGTTTTTCTTTGGAATGAGGGCTGTTATGTGAAGAGCTGTCTGTACATCACCTACGTTTGTGGTTAGTACAGTGTGTAATACTCCAAATGTTATACGGCAAAGTGGTAACTGAGTCAGTCAAATGTCACAAGTCACCTAAAGTCAACTACCTTTGACATCATCAAGTCCTGAGCCAATCAAATGAACGGTGAAAATGGCACTCCTTTTGATCCTTTGGCACTGTTGATCCTGTCATATTTGTGAACTGGCTATGACCAAACAAGTGAATGGACTGATGATGATCACAACTTTCAAGTATCTTTGGAATTACTAAGACTGATGAGTGGGAATACTTAAACAAATTCACCACACCCTTGCCGAAGTAACTTCATATGTTTCAGCACACACGTACCCAAAATATTCAGTCTGGAGGTTGCACAAAATTTGTCAAAGTTGGGTACTGATTAAAAAGGGTGTCCACAACAAATTTCTTAAAAACTAGGCCGTAAAAGTTGGGCTGCCTTTCCTCTATAAATGCCTTCCCCACCTGAAGACCTTCATGCTTCACTTGAATTTTGAATGAAACCATGGCATCCAAATGGCAATGAGCACAAACACACCCCATTAATCACATACTGGTAAACTCATACTTGAAAATCCCATATTGCACGATCTGTTTGGGTATTGATTAGGTCTAGTAAGTTTTCGTATTTTTTGGGGTGAGGGGGTTCTAGTGCCGTGTACTGAATGGTCGTATGTATCCTGCTGGGGAGCTCCAGTCACTGACAGGCGTGGTGGCCTGGTATATGCGGGTCGTTGCTCGGTTGTAGATTGGTAGGAGCTCATTGGCCTCGCTTGACAGCACCTGAGGCAGTCAGAATGAGGAACACACTGGTTAGATATGGTGCTGACATCGCTGTGCACATTTATGGTATAAAACACTCTCAGGAGACTCTAACACTGGGGTGGTGCCACACTCACATGTAGGTCGTACATGTTCTTAACCACTTGCCGCCGGGGACTCTGGTTTCGGGCACTGTGTGTTTAAATGCATGGCCGGGGTCTCCGAAATCAGGCAACGGGAACTGGGCCTTGTAACAAAAGACCGAACTCGGAACAAAACACCAGGTTGCTGGGCATTACAGACATTTTTTAACTCTCAATAGTGGAGATAATCCAGCCTTGTTTTGAAACAGTATACCACGGTTTGGGGCATTTAGTGTGAGCGGATTACCACCAGGGACAAAAGCGTACCACCACTGCAGTGATGAGCCACACAACACCGCTGAACGCTAATCTGGTCCCTATTGAAAAGAGGTCAGCAGCGCAATGTGCCAGCTTCCTGAACAAAAGAAAGTTACGTAGCACCAAAAAATCTGGGCTCTTTTTACAAGGCTGCAGGCCTGGCTGAAATATTTTCAAGATGTATACTCGGGCGTCAATAGATTTTGTCTGTCAGACTAGAGTGGCCACCAGACAGTTGTTTGTTTGGGTGTAAACGTCCATTAATTGAAATTTTTGAAGAATTTTGAAAACTGAAAATCTTGAAAAGTGATACGATTATGTGCACTGCATTTTTCAAACCACCCGGCAGCAAGTGGTTAACATGAGCCACTTGTACTACAGACCTCTTTCACAGGATACAATTTTTGCATCCTATGAAATTACAACTGTGTTTTCAATGTCATGAGGTGTGTGTGGGTAGGCATTTACTGCGCTCAGGGGATAAGTTCTTTTGTTAGGGAAATTTGAACCGAGTTGTGGGGACATTTCTGAGTCCCCACAACGTGTTCTGTCCCCACAAAATAGGTGAAATGTTGTGTATGTCCCCACAACTACAGTGTGGGAGATGGTGTGCCTGCAGTGTGTAAATGCTCCATACACACATGCGTGTTAATCCAAATATCTTTGAAGTACAGTGCAGCCAATGCATGTCACCTAAATTTCACGTTCAAAATGTTGATGCATATAGTACTCTGTAAGATGTGGTGCCGTGGAAAGAGACCTACATGTATACTGCTAAAACAGGCATTCAACGAGCATGTAAGACCCACACATGGGTATAGCTTCACTCCAGTAATAGCTTCTAAGTATGGTCCTCAAATTAATCTGTGCATTGAGGACAGAAAACAAAATAAGGACACAATTGTCCTCCAATGGCAAATGGTATACAACAGAGAGCATTTACAAAAAAGTTCAAGTACATGGACAAGAATCTATAGTGCACTGGGCACTGTGTGCACCAATCACAAAAAGGGGCTATTAATGTCTGCTGAAGAGCAATCTATTTATGTGCAATTTTTCTTCACTTTTTGACTAATTCCTGGTGTTTTTTGTTTTTCTCCATCACACAAACAAGTAAATTCCCACTGCACAAGACTTTGTACAGTGATTTCTTAAGTTGCAACAGTGTACATGAAATAGATTGTGGCTGTGTCTGACACTACTGAGCTGTGGCTTGAAATCACCCATGACTCTATGTGAAATGGCTGCAACCATTTCTGTAGCCACTAACGCAGCCAAGTAATTCAGACGCGACCTATTTTTAATGCGGTAAAACCTAAATAAAACCTTTCCAATAATGAGTATGTTGCACACAGCAAAGTTTTTCTCAGTGAGACTAAGTTAACCAGGCCACGTGACATTTGATGTGTCGTGCTGTTGACTGTCGAGCGATTCTCACCTTTAGGTAGACTACAGCGTCCGTGCCATGGCCATCCATGGAAGTCAGTGTCAAGTCCCCGTGGAAATATTTGGCGTAAAGTCTGGAGATGGGCAGACCATAACCGTATCCTGCCTATTAAAGGTTCATGCACACACACACACAAAAAAGAAGAAATTCTGCAATAAATACTTCTGCAAGACTTTACGGCAATTTTACCGCATAAACCCAGTAACTTGAAACTCCTTTTTTGTATCCGTTAAGTCAAAAACTGAATACTCTTCCATGAGAGTTCAAGGAGCAAGCTGACACTTGAATAAATAACACTCCTGCTAATCTAGGGATTAGCAGCAAAGCCATTTCCTCAACACTTCCAAGTCATTTGAATGAAATGAAAATTTTCCAAGCCAAACTCTGCATCCTTTCAAACACAGACTCCCAAATGACAACCACTTCATTTGTTTCAGCTTTTCAAACCAGTCTGTGTGGCCAAATCCAGCTCACGTTTTCACGCGTCAAACTCTAAGTCATCCAGTTCCTCGTCAAGCAACATGCACTTCAAATGAACAACAAATTCAACGATACAAATTTGGCTTTGCCTCACAGATGTAACTGTCACATTAGATTTTGCTCTTACACTAACACACTTCAGTATCAAGGTAGTCTGAGAATTATGAAAAGAACTACAAGCTTGCTCAGCGGAATTCGAACCCAAGACTTCCTGCTTACTAGTGCAGATGTCTCAACCACTCCACCAGCTAGTTTACCACAGTGGGTACTGCAAGTAGTTGCAAACAGGTAGTCATGGGTTCAAATCCTACCCAAGATTGTACTTTTTTCTACAACCCAGATCACACTGAGAATGCAGTGTGAGTAAATACACTGGTGTGAGGGCATACATGCAACCTAGTATAAAAGCAAATTCCTTTATGATGATTGCTTTATCCTACCCTGGTTTACTTGTGACCTAACTTGTGAATTCACTGGCGATTTACTTTGAAGTATGTTTTAGATGGTTTGCAAGGACGTAGCGATGTGGCAGAGGGCAGGAGTAGTACCACGTAAAATCTCTTTTGTGAGTAAAATTCTGAAGAGAATCGATGGACTCACATGTTGAAAATTTTTATGGTGGACGTAGCACTGTGATTAGGTCTCTTTTGTGAGTGCGCGAGCGAGTCCAACGGTTCTCTTGAGAACTTTACTCACAGCAAAGATTTCACACTGTGCCACTGCAAACCTTCCTCGCATTGGTTTATTCGTGACCGTATTTACAATGGACTTGACAACAACATACTACCATGCAAGTCTTATGACGGCAAGTTGGCGGGCGAGACTTTTACCAAATTCAGACACAAAAGTTTAAACCACTTCCTAGCATTCGGGGACCCAGTCAGACGCGGCCAACCCATGCTCAACCACTAATCTCAACACCAAAATGCAGCTTCCACTTACAACATTTTCAACTTTGGATTGTGTCAATCCACAAGTAGAGTAACCACTGCTATATTCTGTGCACAAAGGCTCTGACTGTATTTCTCTCTCCAAAGCAGCAGCAGATGTGTAGGATCTGTCCTTGCGGCAATCTGGCGCATGCGGTGTCTTGTATCCAAAAGGAAACAATGGGGCTGTTTGAGACGTGGGATGGGAGTGTCTGTGTTTCCTTACCAGTGGGGGGATGGTGGTGGTGCCTGGCTTGGGGGGATGAGGGGCTGTTGAGTACATGTAGTTGAAGATCTTCTCAATTTGCGACTTGGGAATGCCGCCACCTTGATCACTCAGCTGTCAAGAAAAAGATGCGCAGAAAGTCAGAGGCAATTCTGTGAATTCATTTGCAGAAAATGCTGAACCATTACATGCCAATGTGAATTTCATGTATCTTAAAAAGTAAAAAAATACGCTGAAAAACTCTGAATAATATGCCACAAGTACATGTATATTCTAGGGCAGTTTGACCAAATTGGAAAGCTGCTGCACTGACATCAATGAGAAGGAAATCAAGGGACTGCAAAGGTGTCTTATACAATAAAAGACTTGTGGAATGGACGTGCCAATTATGTATAATCAAAGGCCAACATATGGCACAAAAATAGTAAAGCGAGCCAGTATGTTTGTTAGCAATGTCTCTCTGAAGATGTGACATTTTTGCCAAGCCTTGAACACTACAACCTGCTATTTATGTGTATCAGTGTGGAGGTCATAACTGGATTGAGATAACAGCCATTTCTGTTTTGAAGTAAAACCAGTGTCCAGTTTCATGTCAAAACTGACAGGTAAATTTTGCTCTGTCCATATTTGACTGCGAAAGGGAATTAAAACACTTTGTAAGAGCATATAAAGTCCTCTACTGTTCCATTCAAAACAGTCTGCATGCCTATTCACAAATGTAAAATATTCATGAGTGCTAAAACACCTCCAAACATTGATAACCATCGGGAAAACAGCGTGAGTGTTACTGGTGTTTTGTGTGACACGTGTAAGTTCCACGTCATACATGTACCTTGATTGTGACATCCTCCTTCCCCTTGGTAACTAATACTTTGATTTTGGGGTAGTCGACTGCGTCATTTCCATGATACTCCATGACTGCACGCATGGCATTCTGCCAGGGAAGAACAGAAACATCAAATACATCAAGTTATTTTACAATACATGTACCATGTATGGGGAATATTCCTGTAGCAAACTCTATTCTGATAACTGAAAATCTAAGTATGGATGTCACTACAACATTTCAAATGCATTTTACTAGCTGGTCTACAGATTATATGTACTTAACAAGGAAAGTCCAATTACTTTATACTGCCTTACTGTAGGTTTAATGCCAACTTTCCATCTGTGGTACAATTTATGTTTTTTTTTAATAATTAGTATTTCCATATGTCGCACCGGATACAGCAAAAAATCACTCAACCAAAACCGAAATTACTCACAGCCGAGAATTTAGTGTATTTTGTATCCCGGTACATTAAAAACATACCTTGAAGAGTTCGAACAAAATGTGGTACAGATGAGAAGGTACATACACCATTTTGATGTCATTTGTTTTATCCCGAGCTGAAACAAAAGAGAGAACAAAAATTAAAATAATGGAACCGATAATGGTGATCCATACTTCATGGAAAATGCTCTTCACTACTCACAAACAAATTTTGTCTCCCAAATATCAAATATTATTAAAATCTAGATTAACATGAAACCCATATTTGCAAACTGCGCAAGTATCTATACCCTTTAACAGATCCTAAACTAATTTTTAAATTTTTTGGTAAAGAAAAGCGAGGAGAATAGACCCTGAAAATGCTTCAGACTGCATGTTTTATGTAGAATTAAAAGAAAAAGAAGGTGTCCTTAGAACATTTTGCCCACGAATGCTTATTTTAGGAAAGTGAAATTCTTTCTTTGTTGATGTTGAAAGGGAAACACAAAGCTGTTCTTGGATTTGCAAAGGCAAAAGGCTGGATTGAATACTTTTTTGACATTAAATTGTTACTACTGATTTCCCAAATCCTTACAGTCACTGGATTTTGTCTACTCAAAAGATGCATTTTGAAGGTCAAAATTTCATCTGAAAATGCCTAATGGTTTTCCTTAAATACTGGCGCTGGTAAAGATTGCTTCTCGGAGAAGGAACTAGCATTTTCAGGACAAATTTGAATGTCTCTTAAAAACCAAACAGAAAAGAAAAGCAGATATGCACTGATGATGATGCTGTAGGGAGAAAACAGATACATTTTGTAAAGCAGTCCCACCTGACATACAACCGCAAAAGCTTAAAGTACTGTAGTTATGCACAGGCAGAAGCAAGTACTAAATTTTATTTATTTTAAGTACTAAACAGCAATGCTGGCAAAGCTGTAAAGTAGTGAGTCCGTTTTATGCCTCGTTTTTTCTTGGTTTACATTAGGCTCCTACCATTGATCCATTCAATCTCAACATCTGGTGATCCAAGGTAGTACTGATCACAAAGATACTTTGCTCCATCGTATGCATCTACATAAAGGTGAAACAAAAAATACATGAAAGTTTGTCTAGATTCGCTACTAGGCCAAACATTTTATTTCTAATCAAATCTGACAAAAGAAAAAAACACTCCCCATGTTTTCAGCCAGGCTTTTCTGGCCCAGTACATTTTGACAAGACATGTACTTGTTGGAATGTAAAATAATCGTTTCAACTCTCCAAAAAAAAAGAAGAAAGAAGTAGTCATTCACCTTATCACCAGAAAACAAAATATACATCATGTGGCTGTTAAATTGACCATAAATCCTCAAATGGAATAAAACATGCAGCTATCAGGAAAAAACATATCAGTGACAGTACCTTTGATAACACCCACAACATCACAGTCTGGATTGATGCTGCCTATGTGTGTTGGGTGGCTCTTGGGTGCACAGCCAAATATCAGTGCTAAAATGAGGCAAAAAAGAACAGTGTTTACTGTTTTTCTAAAGTGACACATGTATGAATGAAAGCTCACCCAGCACATCTTTTTCTGAATGAACTGCTGACTGGCTGATCTCACAGTCAGAGTGTTGATCAAATCAGTTGATTAGTTAATACCTGCGCATGGAATCTACATATGAATCAACCCACAAGTTATAAATTAACTACACTGTCACACCCATTGACAGTTTGAGCAATTAATCACTTGTTTGCAATATACACAAGTTTATAATATGTTCACCACTGTCTCATCAAGCCCCCTGTCCACCTGTCTCAGGGACAGGCAAAAAATATAAAGCAGGCAGTTTTTTTCTTGAACAAAACTTACAAACTCCCATTTGTTACACAAATCTCCAACAGTAGTGTTAATATCTTTACATTTTCATCCACAGCATTGGCTGCAAGGAAAAATATAAACTCAGACAGTCCCAAGGAACATTTTCTAGTTTAAAGAATTTTGCTGGAAGTAGACAGGCAGTATGTCAACAGTGCCTAGGAAAGGATAGACAAATTATTACAATCCCAGACAAAAACGCTGATGACGCAGAAAGAGTTCCATATACCGTCATCACTTGACACCCTGTTTATAAACTTATGGGACTGGACTGAAAAATTTTAGGTGTTTTCTAGTGAAATGTTTTAATATTTCACTGCTAAATGTGACTTTTAAGAACATGTTATCACTTTTGATGGCTAGTTAACTACTGTAAGGGAAATTAGTGATGTCCATACATTTATGTGGAACTCTTACCACCACTACTCTTCCCCTTCCATACACGTGTACACGTACTGTATAAGGACTACTTTACATGCAAATTTCAAAAATAACTTAATAAAAGCTTATCATTCAGAACTACATTGTACATAAAGTATACATTTATTTTCCGTTTTATGGTACCATGATTTCCCATTGTACAAGAACAATACTGGTACTACAGTGTACTTTGTGATTTCCTGTTGTGGC